AACCTAAACTGCTACATCAGTTTATGGGTGACCTCCCTGAGGTGAGATCAAACCCTGCGCCACCTTTCTTTCATACCGGAGTAGATTACACAGGATTTATTGATATCAAGATTAATAAAGGCCGGAGCGCCCGAACTACGAAAGGTTACGTTGCCGTATTTACTTGTATGGTAACTAAGGCCGTTCACCTGGAAGTTGTGTCGGATTTGACAAGCTCAGCGTTTTTAGCCGCCCTGCGCCGAATGGCGGCCCGCCGTGGAGCTCCTGCACATCTATACAGTGATAATGGCACGAACTTCCATGGAGCAAATAACATTCTCAAGCACGAATATTGTCAGATAAAAGAAACACTGAATGATAGTTTTTTAAATGAAGTAACTGACATGAACATCGAATGGCACTTCACCGCACCAGCTTGGCCAAGTTCTGGAGGTTTGTGGGAACGGGCTGTGCGAAGCTTGAAGTATCATCTGAAACGCGTAGTCGGACAACATAAATTAACATTCGAAGAGTTTTCTACTATACTTACTCAGTTAGAAGGCTGCTTAAATTCGAGACCCCTTTGTGCGCTCACAGAAGATATCGATGACCTAAACATTCTAACCCCAGCTCACTTTTTGACTGGGAGAACAGGTTTGACAGTCATCGAAACCGCAGAAGACGCCCGCACGCGGTGGCATGTGGTAACAAAAATCTTTAAAGATATCTGGAATAAGTGGAATGCTGAATATCTTACTCAGTTGTCTGCGCGAGGAAAATGGCAACAGCCACAACAAAACATTAAAGTCGGAGACATAGTTATCATCCATGAAGAAAATTTGCCCGCGGGGAAGTGGGCGATGGGCCGAGTAACCGAGACCCATCCCGGTTCGGACGGCTACGTTCGTGTGGTTACATTGAAAACAAAAAACGGATGGCTCAAGAGACCCGTTGTCAAATTATCACTTCTACCGATTGAGTCGCACGAACATAAGACAAAGGCAGAACATAAAATAGAACAAACATCTAAGGAACGACCCAAACATCACACATTGAAAAATAAAACAACATTATCTACTCTTTTTATGACATTTGTTTATTTCTTTACGTTAATCATGCAATGTTTGGGAGCGAGTACCATAACAGAGTTAAATAAAAATCAAACCTTATATTTTGATCCCGTAAAAAACGTTCAACTAAGTCGAGACACATGGGCATTAGTTGTGTATTACGATATGAATCCTTACTGGGAAGGAAATTCTGCATTAACCACTCTAGCGTCCAAGCTCATAACCTGTCATAGCGTCACGCGTCCACTTGCGAGATAAGAATTTCTCCGCGTTATGCGCCGGTTCCGTTTCATATTTAAAGGTTATGTGTTTATCTAAGATTATAGAGTTTAATTTTAGTCGAAAATTAAATAACAACTATCAATTTAAAGTAATAAATCTAATGAATTATTTTTTAAAAGTATGTAACATTTATTTAAACCTCATATAACATATTAGTTTAAATTTTTAGTCAATGATATTTTTTTATAATTGCAAGATGAAAGACCGAGACAGACAGCCTTTGTTTTCACTATTTTGGCTCGGTTTAGCTTCTGTAGATGGAATAATGAAAAGTACACTTTAATCGGTAGTTTTAAAGTAAATTTTTGTAATGACAAATCAGAAGCATCAGTCCTGTTATATTAGTATTACGTCCATGTTTACACAATCTATATACAATTGGATATAGTCAGCAATAAAACACGGTACACGGCAGTATGTTCATTGCCGTGTTCTAAAACACGGCTATCCAATGGTAATTAATTTTTTCAATGAGTTTATCGATAGTCGATAAGTGTTTTATGGCACATCATTAGACTAGTATAGTCTAATGAATTATAGTCTAATGATTTTAAAGAGCAGAAAAAATTCCATGATTTTTTAAAATAAAAAGTTATTTACTATTGGAGTAACAATGTCACATCACTAGAAGGATGTTACCATAGAGGAGTAAACTTGATGTAAGATGGCTTCCTTCGTGTGCGGTGTGTGTTAAGTTAAACAATGTGAGTCTAAATATTAAATAAAGAAATATATGCTGAAGGTTGGTTTCCGTGATTAACTATCCTCCATCCATAACCGTCAATATTACTTTTACACAATTTAAACTACTGCACGCACGACGTTGCCAAACTTACATCAATGACATCGGATGTCCAAACTTGCAAAATACCAATACGCGCGATGTTGCCACATTTGTAGTTCGCACAACATAGCTTGTGAGAACAAAAGAATACAATAGCGCAAATGCGGAGCACTCCCCACTTAACGTAATGTACTAGATTGTGTCTCTTTCTACCGCATTCAAACTATCTATTGGCAATGAATCGGTTTACTCATTCACTCAGCTTATTCGCTTACCTCAGTTCGTCGAATGCGCTCACTTGTTACCTATTGTGTTTTGTGTAGTCAATCCTGTTTGACCCTGGCTCGTTTACTGGATTCTGGATTCTACTTAATACGACTATTTCGGCACGCATTAACGGACTTTGATTTGGCCTTACTGTATTGGATAATTGGATATTTGAAATTGGTGATATACTTGGTAAGTTTCTTGTTCATATTTTTATTAAATTTCCTTTAAAATAGATTTTCCTTATGTAGAACGTTTTGTATTGTTATCAAAATCGGTATTGTTTAACTTAAGATGTTCTTTGATACAATCACAATAAAGTAACAATGATTTCAAATGCTACTGAAGAAGCTTAACATACGGGACTCGTTTTTTTAATTGATTGACTATATGGTTAACGATTGGAGTTAGACTTTCTGGTAATCTTTTAGGGGTCGTAGGCTTGCTTGTCGTCGGGTAGTAAAACTCCGTAGAGCCACAACATGTAGAAGGAGCAGTACATAAAGGCACGAAGAACGAGCGCCACATTCCTTTAAAAATTTTACTTCGACTTAATCGAATTTATGATTCTTTGTAACATACCATGGTCCCAACTGAGCAATAATGAATTTAAAACATTTTTTCAAAAGTACATGTGTTGCAATTGCAAAAATATTGAACTACCTAGTGAATCCTTATTGAGAAAAGTTTACTTGGATCAACTTTTTAAAATCAAAGCATAAGAGATGCAAAGTAAGATTGTAGATAAAAAGCTATGGCTTTCAGTAGACGAAACTACGGATTTCTTAGGAAGAGCTGTCGTACATTTGTTGGTGAGACCATTACAACCTAGTAGGTGCCATCAACTTAGTGGCATGTAAAATGCTAGATACTGTAAATGGAATAACGATATCACAATTTGTTCAAGATTCTTTAAACAATATGTGGGGAAGTTCATTTGAGAGCAAACTAGATAACGTTAGAATGTTATGTACAGACATTGTGGCATACATGATATCAGCTGGTAGAATTTTAAAATCAACTTTTCCAAAAATGTTGCATTTCACATGTTTAGCCCATGCTCTAAATCTTGTTGCGGGGCAGATTAGAAAAGAGAACCCTAATGTTGACAGTTTAATTTCAAATATGAAAAAAGTTTCTTTGAAGGTACCAAAAAGAATTAAAATCTTTAAAGAAATGTGTCCGGATTTACCTTTACCTCCTGCACCTGTAATTACCAGATGGGGTACTTGGCTTGATGCAGCATTCTATTACGCTAAGCATTTCGATGAAATTAAATCTGTATTGTCTGTGCTGAACAGTCAAGAGGCAAAATCAATAGAGAATGCTTTAAAATTTTTTAATAATAATGACAACATTAAGGATGATTTGTCTCGTATTTACGAAATTTTTTTAATTATACCAACAGTTTTGACATCACTACAGAAACCCGATCTTTCTCTAATGGAATCATTTGAAATATTTGATGCAGTGAGATTAGCTTTGAGATGGGCAAATTGTGAGAGCTTAGAAGATAAAATGGAAAAAGTCATGGATAGAAATCCTGATTTGGACACTATCAGAAATATAGCAGAAAAAATTTCTTCCTGCACTAATGACGAGGAGGAGGAAGTGTATAAATTTTAATTCTCACAAAAGTTATACAGTAATATCGGAAGCGAACACTTCAAATCTTACTGGTAATCAATCGGACAAGGAAAATGATTCTGATGGGCCGTTTGAATAGGCAAAACTTCATGAGTCTAGGCTAGAAGCAAAAGTATTCGCTCGTATTTATAAAAAAGGCGAAAATGCGTATGAGAATTTGCTTAAGACTATCAATAATTTGTATTGTAAATTAATGTAAACTAATAAAAAAATTATGTTAATTATCTTTGTTTTATTTGTCTATCTCTGATGTTGTTATTATTATTTAGTTGTAAGATTGTTGGCCACACGGGATTGTCCATTAGAAATCCCGGGAAGGGCCACATTAATATCAACATTTCGATGCAAGTACATAAATCCACCACCACCAGCCCTTTTACGTCCCCACTGCAGGGGCTCAGGCCTTCCTTATGGATGGTTAAGGAGGATGGGCCATGACCCTCCACGCTGGCCCAATGCGGATTGGAGGGTATTAACGACTGCAAATGCAGCCGGGACCAACGGCTTAACGTGCCTTCCGAAGCACGGAGTAGCTCGAGATAATAATTTTTTGGTCACCCATCCCGTGACCGACCCTTGCGAAAGTTGCTTAACGACTACGATCGCGGGCCGCGGCGCTTATCCACTACGCCACCGAGCTACTCATAAATACATAAATAACTCTACCTAATTCCGACCTCTGATAATCACTCCTTCTTTTCAAATGACCTAATATCAATTAAAATTAATATTCTCCTTGCTCGCTACGAATAACCCATCTGTATATAAATCTCTAGCAAAATTATTATTTTCAACAATATTAAACTGTGATACCCTTCTAATCCTCATTATTCCAAATTCCCCTAAACCTTATCACTTTCCTGACGTTTCCCCAACTTTACCCACAAAATAATATGTCAAAGCTAAATGCACAAGCCGTGCGAAGCCAGAAGAAAAAAAAAGTCTTTAACGGACGTTGACGTTTGTTTGACAATTTCAACGACCTACAAATTGTAGAAGGTCGCTCTTTCGACTTGTTTTTTAGATATTAATTAAACCGTCCTGATCATCCTGGACGGGTAGATTTAGCTACGTTTTTAAGAGAAAATGTTGCGAACGATTATTATTCGAAATCAAGCTTTAAACAGCAGTCTAAAAAAGGCTGTACGATCTAATTTGACTAGATGTCTGAGCACAGGAGTAACTAGGAGGAAAAGTTCTAACAAGTAAGTATTACCTTAATTGTTTAATTGAACGCTGAATTATCATTTAAGTACACTTTCATTTCGTGTTCAAAATACTGTGAATTTAATAAACATAGTTTATTCATAAGTTTTTGCTACCTATCAAGAGGTGTCAGTTGCATAACCAAAACGTCAATGTTCTTGCGTATGTCAACCACCTTACGTTTGGGAGAAACCGGTACCTCAATGTATCCTCCTGAATCGTGATTCAGGAGGATACATTGAGATATATAACTTAATATTTCATGCATGGTTATCTTCCTACATGTAATTAACACTGGCAAATTGACAATATATCTCTAATCTTCTAGAATATTATCACCATGTGAAACAAGGTTAGTCTTGACTCCACAATGGACTGGTCAATTTAGGCACTACTCCAGTTTACCAACCCATATAAAGGTAAATCTGCCTGCTCTATCACCTACTATGGAAAGTGGCTCTATTGTCAGTTGGGAGAAAAAAGAAGGCGATAAACTTAATGAGGGTGAGATATTTTTATTTTAATAATTATTTTGTCACTTAATTATTGTGTATTTGATATTTATATTACTTTGTGTTCTGAATTATTGGAATTACTGGAAGGCCTCTAAAGCAGTGATTTCTAAAGATAATTTTTTTATTAATTAAATTATGATTTGTGGTATATGGGGCAAAGCTCCAAAATATATGTTATATAACTTCTAACTTTGCTACAAAATATATGTCAATTGACATTGCACACTCAACTGAAGATCTGTTGTTTACAAATGCTTATTTCTGTCATATCTTGATAGATTCTCTGTCAGATTGTCATTGATCTTAAAATAATTTTAATGAAAGTTAAATTAAAAATAAAAGTTTTCAATTTCTAATAAAAGTGTATATTGAGAGTAAAAGGTATTTAGCTAGTGTCCTCTCATAAAAGGTAACACCTGCTCTAGAGAGACAAATCTGAAATGAGATGCAGACATAGCGATGAGCACATACAAGTATAAAAATTGCATGTAATTACATAAAACAACTTTGTGTTCTTAACATTATCTGCTTTGTTTTATACTGATAAGGTCATAATGAGTCACATTCAATCTAGTAGGTGTTATTGAGACAATCACATTATGTAAACTATATTTGATGTTCTCTATTTTTATAAGGAATCATTGAGTCTTTGATTACAATTTGATATTTTGAGAAACATCACAAACAAATAGAATAAAAATGGTTTAAAATTGTATACTTAATAAAAAAATCTATTTTTACCCTTATAATGCTATTTATTAAATCTGGAACACGGTTTTTATAAAGATTTCATTTTAGGTGACCTTCTTTGTGAAATTGAGACTGATAAAGCAACCATGGGTTTTGAGACACCAGAAGAGGGTTTTTTGGCCAAGATTCTGATCCCCACTGGTACAAAAGGTGTACCAGTTGGCAAACTGTTGTGTATAATAGTGAATAATAAAGATGATGTGGCATCATTTAAAGATTTCAAAGATGACTGTAAGTAATCATAAAAATATTGATACTTGATGGGGTGAACTCTAGAACTTAGTTATCTGATATTGAACAAGCTATGAGAACAATAATACATCATAGTATGAAGCTGAAACTAGCAGCTACGCGGTGATCAAGGCCAGGGACGACACGCGGAGTGGGGCCCGCGCCCCCGATAAAATTTTAAAGTATGAATAACTATTTACAAAGTGAATAATAAAGAGAAGATGAGTATAAAAAATTATAAACAAAAGAGACCCATTCATCTCCAAATTTATGCAACAAATTTTATTCAAAGACATGGTTTTGAGATGTAAGAAGTCGTAACTTTGTTCCTTATCATCAGATATTAATAAAATTTCATTTAGAACTATGTTATGATGCAATTATAGTGTTGACAAAGTTACAAAAGGGATACTCGATTCCTTCCATTTTTTCTAATAATTTTCATTAATTAAAAGCCACTTTTGACCATGAAAAAAGTCAAAACTTTGTTCCTTACCATCAGATATTAATAAAATTCAATTCAGAACTATGTTATGATGCAATTATAGTGTTGACAAAGTTACAAAAGGGATACTCGATTCCTTCCATTTTTTCTGATAATTTTTATTAATTAAAAGCCACTTTTGACCATGAAAAATGTCATAACTTTGTTCCTTGCCATCAGATATTAATAAAATTTAATCCAGAACTATGTTATGATGCAATTATAGTGTTGACAAAGTTACAAAAGGGATACTCGATCACTTCCATTTTCTCTGATAATTTTTATTAATTAAAAGCCACTTTTGACCATGAAAAAAGTCATAACTTTGTTCCTTACCATCAGATATGAATAAAATTCAATTCAGAACTATGTTATGATGCAATTATAGTGTTGACAAAGTTACAAAAGGGATACTCGATTCCTTCCATTTTTTCTAATAATTTTCATTAATTAAAAGCCACTTTTGACCATGAAAAAAGTCATAACTTTGTTCCTTACCATCAGATATTAATAAAATTCAATTCAGAACTATGTTATGATGCAATTATAGTGTTGACAAAGTTACAAAAGGGATACTCGATTCCTTCCATTTTTTCTAATAATTTTCATTGATTAAAAGCCACTTTTGACCATGAAAAAAGTCATAACTTTGTTCCTTATCATCAGATATTAATAAAATTTCATTCAGAACTATGTTACGATGCAATCATAGCGATGACAAAGTTACAAAAGGGATACTCGATCACTTCCATTTTTTCAATAATTTTCATTAATTAAAAGCCACTTTTGACCATGAAAAAGTCATAACTTTGTTCCTTATCATCAGATATTAATAAAATTTCATTCAGAACTATGTTATGATGCAATCATAGTGATGACAAAGTTACAAAAGGGATACTCGATCACTTCCATTTTTCCTAATAATTTTTATTAATTAAAAGCCACTTTTGACCATGAAAAAAGTCATAACTTTGTTCCTTACCATCAATTTTTATTGATAAAAATTGCTGGAAATTAAAGAAGAAGCAGAGTATCCCTCTTGCCCTCGACACTACTTTTCCCTTACATCATAATGAAGTAACAGACCAAGTTTTATTAGAATCTGTTGACTAGAAATAAAGATATGATTTTTTACATCTCAAAAAGTCAATCTTTATTAATAAAAATTGCTGGAATAAAAAGAAGGAGCAGAGTATCCCTCTTGCCCTCGACACTACTTTTCCCTTACATCATATTGAAGTAACGGACCAAGTTTTATTAGAATCTGTTGGCTAGAAATAAAGATATGATTTTTCACATCTCAAAAAGTCAATCTTTATTGATAAAAATTACTGAAAAATAGAGAAGGGGTGGAGTTTGTTTTTCGTGGTTATTATTATCCGTCCTGAATTTATTTTTCTCTTTTTATTGAACTTATTATCCGGGGAATAGTCAATCATGTTTTTTTTTTAAAATACAGTTGTGGGCCCGGGTCTTTTTTTCTACGTTTCGTCCCTGGCGGCTGTCAGCTGGTAGCTGCTAATTTCAGTTTCATCATCATAGTATAATATTAAATTAAATATTAAAGTACATAGCATGTTCATTTGGATCACAATTATAAATATACAATTAGAACATTACTGTCTTGAAGCATGTCATTATGATTTGCTATGATAGCATGCAAATAATTTTGAAGAGTTAAAATAACTGGGTTTAAGCCATAAATACCATTAACCTAGTAATATCTCCTTATATTATCATTGGTTTTCCACAATCTTCAAGTCTAAATTTTTGCATGAATAATTTCATCTGGTTTTACTCTACAGCAACTGGAGCTCCTGCAAAACCACAGCCTATAGGTAATTAAAAATTGAGTATTTTATCATCTTTTTCATCATTAATTTTTGGAGTGATGAATTAAACTTATAATTAAATAGTAATACTCTCATATTTTATTTATTGAGTACAGTAGAAACTCCTTATTCGCATTTTAATTATTCATTGGTGTAATATTGTAACCCAATTTCTATACATGCGGCTAAAATATGTTTCTTTATGGATGCAATCAGAAACATAATGGAATTCAGAGTCATAAATTTTGCTTTATTGTAGCATTCATAAAATATTTAAAATTGCCAATGCTGCAGCTACTTAGTTATGAATCTGATTTTATAGATATATAAACCCTGCAAAAAAAGAATAATAAATAAAATCTTTAAAACTTTCATTTAAAGCTGACAATAAAGATTGATTTTAATGGTTAGTTCCCCAATAATCTTGCCTCAATTGTATTCACATACATATTGCCTTTATTTTGGAACCTTGAAACATATTCCCTATAATTGTATACTAAATGCCATCCCATATTTGCGTTTTATCCTACATATTATCGCGAACATATCATCAGAGAATAAGAAGCTTTTACTGTACAATTATAAAATTCAGTCATACAAATAATATAAAATATTTTTTTTAATAACTAACATATCATTAGATACACTTCCATCATATAAAAACTAAAAGGTTTTATGTCAGTTTATACTCTATTACAAAGTAAGGGTTCCAATAAACACTATTTCAACGATGTATTGAGAAATCTTATGAAATCTCAAGTGTTATTTTACTTTAATAGCTGCAGCAGCGCCTCCACCGGTCGCCGCGCCTGCGCCTGCTGCTCCTACTCCCGCTCTCGGTCCAGTGAGTGCTCCAGTAAGTGCTGCAGCCGCAGCACCCGCTGTAGCGATACCTGCCGCTGCTTTAGGCGATAGGGTATACGCAAGTCCTCTGGCGAGACGTCTCGCTGAGCTTAGGAATGTTAGGCTTGGAGGTGAGTTAGCTTTCATTTTTGTATTGTTTGTCTATAAATCTTTAATCGAAAAGTAGAGCATATGTTGATATTAATTTGTTATTTCCAACTTGGTTCAAATCATCTAGACAGGTTTATGATTCTTTTAGTGTTTGTGTATTAGTAATCCTGATAGCAATATTGCAAATAATCATTTTATAGAAACTATATGTAGATTCCTAAGCATGTATAAGTCATATTTTATGAACTTGAAATAAACTGAAAATTATTGCACAAAGTGTAATTAATTCAAATGAGTGACTGGACTTTAACATGCTGTCTGCAGGACAGGGTTCAGGACTGTATGGGTCAATAAAGAGTGGCGATTTGTCAAGTGCAGTGGCGGTGGCGGCGGCGCCTTCCGTGGCTGTAGCGTCAGCTCCGGCCCCAGGAGCCACATTTGTCGACATTCCGCTGTCTGGCATGAGGGAGACGATCGCCAAGAGACTCTCTGCTGCTAAACAGACTATTCCTCATTATCAGCTTAGTGTTACTGTTAATGTTGAGAAGACACTTGCTATGCGGAAGGCGGTAAACGAAAGGTTGGCAGCTGAAAAGTCAGATGTTAAGGTAAAATTTTTAATCTATTTATGTCCATTATATATGTCCATCAGTAATTACGTTATAGATATATGTGTTAATACACATGCATTCATACACATATATTTATTTCAGGTATCAGTTAATGACTTCATAGTAAAAGCAATGGCCTCGGCCGCAAAGAGAGTGCCCACTGTCAACGCACACTGGATGGAATCTTTTATCAGACAGTATGTTATGTTATCTTATCTATACTAACTTAAATAGTGTAAAATTAAATCATGTAAAATTTAACATACTTTGAATGTTCACAGTAGGAAATAATCAGATTATATCTACTGCAAAATTAAAATTAATATGTATTCGGAATTTTAACATTATTAATAAGTAAAAGTGATTAGTAAACATGGAAATATATAAAAAAATTCAAATGCAAACATTGATCTAGATAGATAAATGGTTAAAGAAAGTATTGAAAAGTTCGCCTTTGATATGTTTCGAAACTAAGTCTTCTATGAAAGCAGGACTTTTAATGAATATTCTTTATCTGTTTTTCTTGTAATTATGAATGTGAAGGTATGCAGTAGTAATTTAGTGCCTTTTTTTAAATGACTAATAAAAACTTTTTTTTACAGGTTCTCTAATGTAGATGTAAGTGTGGCTGTGGCGACACCTAACGGTCTTATTACGCCTATTGTGTTCAACGCGGATTCGCGCGGCGTTATAGACATATCAAAAGAAGTAAAGGTGCTTGCAGCCAAAGCCAAGGAGGGTCGTCTTCAACCTCAGGAGTATCAAGGAGGAACTGTTACCGTCTCCAACTTGGGAATGTTTGGTTAGTATGTGTATATAACTGCAGGTATTACAATCTTTTTCTAGCCAAAGTTTATTTATTTTGAGGGTACTTAAAGAGCTATAATCTCAAATAAACATTTTTTATTACCTTAAAAATAAAAAAAAAATGTATTTCACTATATGTATGCTGTTAATAAAAGTTGTTAATCTTTCAGGAATTACGGAGTTCAATGCGATCATCAATCCTCCCCAATCTTTAATATTGGCGTGCGGAGGCTTACAAGAATTAGTGATAGCTGATAAAAACGAACCACAAGGGTAAAATTATTTTGTAATTAGTACTTCACGTTGCTAACATCTCAAACATTCAAGTTGTACTCATAATTTCAGCATTATGTAAAATTTATGCATATAATCCAGCTCGAAGGATCAAAAACATTATTTCGTTGATTTTAGATTACAAACATTACTAAAAGATATATATTTTTACATCAATTATGTAATAATAATCTGTGGTTTGATTGAAACTTATTATTCTATGTGATGGTTCAGATTCAGAGTGGCGAAGTTCATCACATTCACGGCTTCCGCAGACCACAGAGTAATAGATGGCGCGGTAGGCGCGCAGTGGATGAAGGCCTTCAAGGATAATCTCGAGGATCCCGCTAATATCATACTGTGAACAAACTCTTCTGACTCGTAGCGATTTGCTAAATGGAAAATCACACTTGTTACCTCATTATTATTGTGAACTAGGACCATCTATGGTTTGAAACATACAATCTAAGCAAAATTATAAAAACGCAGATTTTTTTATTGAATTTTGAATGTTTCTCCAGCATTACCTAGCTGATTTATTCATTATATAAGTGACAGAGATTACTGAAGTTTTATAATAATTTAAGTGATATCTTAAAGTTATTAAAACAGAATACTTATTTATTTTTTATTATTATTATTTATTGCTTCTACACTGTTTTTACTGTAAATATGGTGAGTTAAGTGCAGTTTTAAGTTCCAATCAATGTTTGTATAAGTTTTTTAATCCTAATGTTTTTGTTAGTGGCAGTTTTTATGTTCCAGTTAGCAAATTGTGATGAGTGTTATATTTGATATCTGGTCTAGGTTTCCCTTCGATCGAGCGGAATACTTCCTTTTCGCGTATTTATTTCTTGATTTCGTGAAGTAAATGGTAAACTACATATGCCGACTGTTGATATTATAATTTATTTAATATATATTATGTATTTACTTAGGTTTAGTTGGAATTGTTCCGTTCCGCTCGAAGGACCATTAGTGGTCATCACTAATTGTAAGTGAATGATATTTATTTAGTTAAATTAAAATATATTAGTATCCAAAGGCATACAATTCCTAATCATGATTTTGAAGATGTAAGTAATGTTTAACTTTATGGTTGATTTATTAAAAGAGTGCATCATTATTATGGGAAACATGAGCATTTTAAATAACATACTGTATTTATTTTTGGAGTGAAGATCTACTGTCATTATATATTATTCAATTGTATTTATTTGATTTTGATATATAAAACTTATAAAACGAATGTGTAAATACAAATAATGTAATTATTTGTATGTATATAAATGAATATTTGCACAACTTTATTTTGATGCTGCCAGATTCTATGTGACCGTTAGTTGAATATATTTTAATTATTTAAAGTATAACCTTTTATTATTTAACTTATCCCATCATCCTATCAAATATGTCTATAGATTTATCTATGGATCCATTGTGTAAGATAATCCGATTACCAAGACTCCACTGTCTGTCTGTATGTAACCAGGCTGTATCTCATTAACCGTGAAAGTAAGATAGTTTAGAAAGTTAGATAATTTTTACAGATGATGTATTTCTGTTACCGCTTCATCAACAAATAAATAAAAACTTGAATAAAGTTAATATTTAAGGAGGCTCCCATACAACAAAGGTGATTTTTTTTTGCTCGTTTTCGGTACGAAACCTTTATGCGTGAGTACGTGCACTTGGCCGGATTTTTTTACTCTCCTACCTATTTGTCACAGTTAGTTTTTGATACCGATTGAGTTGTGGTACACTAATATAAGTCTGATCAATAACCGACGGTTTTAAACAGGGTTGGGAATTAAATAAATTACACAATAAAAAGTTTTGTAATCTATAATATGATTCTATCAAATGAAATAACATTAAAATAAAAACCTTTTAAGGGCTAAACAAAGGAAAATAAGGACTTAATCTTGGTTTGGCAGTTATGAGGGTTAACTGGAAACTGCAAAAGCCCGTCATTAGGTAAGTGCTCTCATGACCGGTCTCCTCCGTGCTTTGGAAGCCACGTTAAGCTGTTGATACCGGCTGCATCTGTAGTCTTTAACACTCATTAACCCGTACTGGACTCTCTTGGTGGCCTATTCCATCCACGAGAATGCCTATACCCTGTTCTGTATGTTTATTGCTAATCCATTACGCAGTTCAATTCTAAAACTATATCGAATGAGTTTCCTTATATGGTGTTATGAGAATATAACTGTAATATACACAAACACTAGTTTGATTCAATCTTTCAATACGTAAAATAATTAGATTTAATACTTAATTAGGCCAAGGGCAGCGCTATTGCGTGATTACAACATGTAGGTGTGGCTCTACTGAGGCTAGAAGTGTCGAGGATGAAACCTGCCAATAATGTTTTTCCGATCATAGATATATTTCCAGACATTTTTTTAACATAGAATTCTTTGTTTTCAACTAGGTATATTTTGTGATTTTAGAATTTGCCCCTTTGAAAGTGCCTGCCGAGGCAATTTCAGATTATTTTTGACTGGGCGGTTGCCTATACATTTTTTGTGTGTATGTACAAACCTATGGTACAGTTTTTTTAATAAAAAAAAACTTTCGTAAATAAGATCGAATTGTCTAGACATAGATAATGATAAATATGTCTTAATAATTGCCAAAACAAACCTATCAGTTTCACAGATAATTTTGATTACTGATAAGCTGTCAGTTTATCTTAAAAAATCTGTAAACAGATCTATCCAAGATTTTTTTGCTTCAAATTTGTTTTAATCGAAGGGAATTTAAATACTACATACTACAATAGTATTAATGCTTTAGCACTTTTTTTTCATTTGTTTCTTTGTTGCTTAATAATTTTAGTAGGTAAGTTTATAAATATTTATTTTCGATGATATTAATACCGAGCTAATTGTAAAATTTTAAGCTATAGTTTATTTATAGTCTGTCTCGAAATAAATAAACGATTGTTGTTTTAGATTAGATTATATTGTAAACACGACTTTTACAAATTTACTTTAACATTAATTTATAAAAATAACTTGCCTGCGACTTCGTCCGCATAGTGTAGTAACATTGAGCAGTATTTTTAATTTTTAAGTTATTGTTTTTAGGATACTTATTTTATATAGAGATACCTACAAACTATTGTTACTTACAGTAAAAGCTTTTACAGCAAACTTCAATAGTTTATGTTTTCATTTTTAAAACAACGATCTTTGATTTTTACTACTCCATCAACGAAATATAAATACACGTATAATATGAACATCATTTCATTTACTAAATTGATTTCGTCACATATTTCATACCCAAAAAGACTAAAACAAATATTCATTTATTTCTATCGAGTGCAATATTTCTTAACAAAGTTTTATGGTTTGTTATTGGTAATGACGAACTTATACCATATTTCAACTCCTTCAACCCCATTCCTCGTTTCTGAAAGTTAACTCTATCTCTGTACCTACCAAATTTCTTTAAAATCGGTTATAGTTCTTAAGCGTGAAAGCGTAATTGACAAAGTTACTTTCGCGTTTATAATAGGTATTAATAAATTAGGGATTGTTCTTATAGGTTTAACCATACATATAGCGAATTCTATGTACCTGTCGGATATTTGTTTTCACATAAGAGAATCAACAAGTACATAAAAGACGCCAAAAACCGTCAAACTTCAAAAGTACTAGAAAATGCATAGGTTCGATTCTCTAATGAAGACGAAGTCTCACTATGTATTTTGATGATTTAAGAACATTATAAATAATATTATATAGGTACCAAATAACGACCAGGGCAAGTTTTTACCAGTGTTATGAATTAATTTATATTTAACAGTTGGGTAACTATTATAAATTGAAATTAACTTTAGTCATGACAGATACTACGTCAGAAATATCTTCGGAGAACACAGAAATCAAGAAGCCAGCCAAAGACATACCTGTGGTGCACGACCAAGGTTTCTTCCAGCATGAAACAGGTGATACTTATGATGGTTACTTCGAAGCGAAGAAGAAAGATAGAGTTGCTAAAATGCATGGTAAGTCATAGATATGTGTTGACAGAATTTTGTCTCAGAAACAAATAGGAAAATAACATTTTACCAATACACAAGTAACTCGGTGGCATAGTGGATAACCTGTCGTTAAGCAACTTTCGCAAGGGTCGGTCACGGGATGGGTGACCAAAAGATTATTATCTCGAGCTGCTCCGTGTTTCGGAAGGCACGTCAAGACGTTGGTCCCGGCTGCATTTGCGTTCGTTAATACCCTCCAATTCGCATTGGGCCAGCTTGGAGGGTCATAGTCCATCGTCCTTAACCATCCATAAAGAAGGCATGGGCCCCTGCAGTGCGGACGTAAAAGGGCGATGATGATGAATACACAAGTTGTATTATTAGATTCTACAGTGCTGCAGGTAAGTCAGTCTACATTTAGTAAGTATGTTCTTGGAAGGTTAAAGGAAAGAAATTATATTATTCTAGCAACCCATCCTCGTGATGAATTCTATTAAACGCTGTCGAACCATAAAATTTACTAAAACCCGAAGTTTGATTAGATTTATTAGATTTGTTTGGGTCACCAGAGAGGGATTTATCCCTAAAAATGCTTTTGGGCCAACATAGGGATAAAAACAAAGGCATCAATACCAACGATGACGTAACATTCGTTAGTTGTTCCTGCAACTAACTTGAATCTAAATTCCAGCAAAATATTTATAAGGTCTTTTAATTTGATACGAGGGTCAAACTGAAAGTTCTTAGAACTGGCCACTTATAAACAATATAATAAAAAAATAATTCTAAAATTTGAAAATATAACTCTTTGCCAATATTACTGAGTATATATTTCATTCATTTGTCATGTGTGTTACGATTTGGCGGCAAATTGAAAATTGTCTGTGTCACGTCATCATGAATTTAACACGAGAAAATTTTCGTGCAATGATTTTTTATGACTTTCGATGTCATTTAAGTCAACAAGAAAGGTATGATAGACTACGATTGGCCTTTCACGATGAAGCCCCATCTCGTGCGACTGGTTACAACTGGTTTAATGAGTTTAAACGTGGTCGCACTAATCTCACTGATGATTTACGTGAGGGACGGCCTTCTACGGCGACGACTGAAGATAACATCTGTGTTGTGCGGCGTATGATAGAGACTGACAAAAGAGTGACCTATCAACAGATTCGGACAAGCTTAGGCATCGGTATGAGTCAAGTGCACAAAATCCTCCACGAACATTTAGCGGTCAGGAAGCTTTGCGCCCGGTGGATACCTCATAATTTGACTGAGGCTCAAAAACTCCATCGTGTGGATTGGTGTCGTAAAATGATTGAAAGATTTAACGGAGGTGACTCAAATGCTGTGTTCGACATACTAACAGGTGACGAAAGCTGGATTTACTGTTATGATCCTAAAACCAAAAGACAATCTGCTCAGTGGGTGTTTCCTTTCGAGGAGTTGCCAACTAAAGTGAAGAGAGATCGAAGTGCGGGAAAAAAAATGGTGGCCTCGTTCGTTGGAAGGATAGGTCATTTTGCAACAATTGTGTTAGAGGATCAAAAAACAGTTTCTGCAGAATGGTACACTACCAATTGTTTGCCACTTGTCTTGGAAAAAGTTCGAGAGAAACGACCTCGCAGTAGGATCCTCCTTCACCACGACAACGCCTCGTCGCACACCGCCAAGCGAACGATCGACTATTTGGCGACATCAAACGTTGAATTACTGGGTCACCCGCCGTATAGCCCCGACCTCGCGCCTTGTGATTTTTATTTATTTCCAAAAATTAAAGAAAAACTTAAAGGAAAGCGGTTTATGAATGCTGAAGAAGCGGTGGCTGCGTATCGCGATGCCATTGAAGAGGCCCCTAAGGACGAGTGGGCAAAGTGCTTTTCCCAGTGGTTCCATCGCATGCAGCGGTGTATTGACGTGAATGGACAATATTTTGAAAAGATATAATAAAACTAATAACTGGCTAATGTAATCAGTTTTTGATTTTCTAAGAACTTTCAGTTTGACCCTCGTATTATAAATATATAATTAAAACTGTTAACTATATCTTGAATACTGAGATGAAAGGCTGCTTTCGACGCATTCTGGACTGCATGATTGTACTGTTGATTATACAAATACTTTTCGAATTTTAACCAGCTGTTAAAATAGATACCAACAATGACATGCATCTATGATGCTTTTGTGAAACGAAGTGTGTCAAAGGTTCTTCACGATTAGATTTGATGAACCGAATCGCTCTTTCCATTCCATATAGGTACGGACGATGCGAGCGTCATGGTCTAATTGTTGACAATGGTCATTCTTAATGCTTAGGTACATTTTGTTTGGCATCTCCAATTACTATAACTGTGATAATGTGTTAAGTATATACATACCAAAGACAAGTATATGAAGATACTTGTTCCTAGTTCTAAGTTCTTAATGTTTTAGTTGCTTAGTAACTTGTTGTTATTTTTATAAGAATAGTTTCTGTTATGTTTTCTTCAGTCAGTAAATAGTTTATTCGAATTCAATAGATATTCTCATTCATTCTTAACATGGTAGCAGAGCGTTTAAATGAGTAAGTAAATTATATTTAAAAATATAAGAAACTAGAATATCTAGAAACGCATTCTGGAAATAAAATCAAGTTCATTCAGTCTGATAACGGTAAAGAGTATGTAAATAAAGAATTTGATTCTTATCTCAAACGTTGTGGGATACAGCGTAGGTTAACCGCACCCTATACTCCGAATCAGAACGGAATTGCCGAACGTAAGAACCGTACACTCGTGGAGAAAGCGAGAGCAATGATGATTGATGCAAACGCACCATTTAGACTTTGGGGCGAAGCAATAACAACAGCAAATTACTTATCAAATAGAAGTATTAATAGCGCTATTGGAAATGAAACGCCTTTTAAACAGTGGGTTGGGAGACACCCGTGCATTAATCATTTGTATGCATTTGGTTTGAAGACTTACGTGCTACGAAAGGGTTCTAACAATAATAAATTTGCACCTAAAGCGATACCAGGAATGTTTGTAGGTTACTCTGAAACATCAAAAGCTTTAAGAATTTTTATTCCTTCTAAAAACATTGTACTACAATGAACATGATAATAAAAACTATATGTCAATTCTTCTCAATGATTTAAAAAACAAAGAGATTAAAAATACGCACAAACAAGTGGATATATCATTTGATGATTATGATCACGCGTCTAGCAATGATGAATCACTTTCTGGTTATATGAATGATGACGATAATAATGATAACGATGATGCACAAGTACAAATCGATAACATTGTAGACATTGTGCAAAACGATGAACCAAGATCCTTGAGAGACAGATCTGCAATCAATGTTCCTAAACGCTTTGATGATTTTATAATGGCTGCAACTGAAGAAATAGAAAATCTTCATAAGCCTAAAGAACCTACCACATTTAAAGAAGCCATGGAATCTCCAGATAGAGATAAATGGCAAGAAGCCATGCTCAGTGAAATTAATTCACTAAATGACAACCAAACCTGGGAACTGATGGATTTACCTAAGGGACGAAAAGCCCTGCCTTGCAAGTGGGTGTTTAAAGTAAAAATGAATCCTGACGGTTCCGTAGAACGATATAAAGCCAGAATGGTTATTAAGGGTTATTCACAACAACTTGGAGTGGATTACGATAAAACTTTTAGCCCAGTGGTACGTTTGAGTACAGTACGAACTTTGTTAGCAATTAGCGCTCGAGAAAACTTAAAGTTACACCAGTTTGATGTGTCGACTGCGTTCCTTTATGGTGAAGTTCAGGAAGAGCTTTACATGAAACAACCTGAAGGTTATCAAGATGGTACAAAACGAGTTTGTAAGTTGAAACGCAGTCTTTACGGACTAAAGCAAGCACCTCGATGTTGGAATACATGTATAACCGAATTTTTAAAGAAATCTAGGTTCCAACACAGTAAAGCTGCTCCATGTCTTTATACGAGAGTTAGAGGAGAATCCAAAGTGTTTCTTGGCCTTTATGTCGATGATGGACTTGTGGCATACAGCACAAAAGTAGCAGGCGAAGAATTCATTAAAGAATTAACTACGAGATTCAAGATAACAACTAAACCTGTTTCTTACTTTTTTGGAATGGAAATAAATGTGCGCAAAGACAAAGGAATTATCTTATGTCAAAAGGCTTACACAAAGAAAGTTTTACAAAAATACGGCATGTCTAATTGTAAATCAGTACCAACGCCGATTATCAGAGGAAATGAGATGGGAGAAGAAGAGCACGTAAATGCAAACTTCCCATATAGGCAAGCCGTGGGCTCCTTAGCATATTTAGCAGTAGGTACAAGACCCGATATTTCATATGCTGTGGGTGTAGTATCTCGTAATTTGGAGTCACCTACAAAATCAGATATACTGCGCGTCAAGCGTATCTTTCGCTATTTAAAAGGCACACAGAATTATGGTCTTATTTATACACCCAAATCACCGTCATACTTAGTCTGTTACAGTGATGCAAACTACGCTGGAGACCAAACAGATGGAAGGTCAACGTCTGGCTCATTGTGTTTATTTTCTGGAGCAGCGATTAGTTGAAAAAGCCAAAAGCAATCCACTGTATCGATTTCTTCAACAGAAGCGGAAATAATAGCAGCCAGTGAAACAGCGCAAGAAATATTGTGGTTTAATCGCTTATGGTCTAATTCAAGCGGACAAACCTGTGCTAAACTTAGACAATGAGTCAGCTATAAAACTTGCACACAACCCCCAACATGAGTATCATAAGCGTACGAAACATATAAAGTTGAAACACTTCTTTATTCGAGAGTGTGTGTGCAATGAAGAGTTTATGGTCAAACAAGTGACCTCAGAGCTACAGCTAGCTGACATGTTCACGAAGCCTCTATTTGGCCCAAGGTTGCAGGAGTTAAGCAGACGGATTGGGCTGAGAAATTTAGATGTCTAACATCTAAAAAAAAAAACGGAGGATGTGAAGTATATACATACCAAAGACAAGTATATGAAGATACTTGTTCCTAGTTCTAAGTTCTTAACATGTTTTAGTTGCTTAGTAACTTGTTGTTATTTTTATAAGAAGAGTTTCTGTTATGTTTTCTTCAGTCAGTAAATATTTTATTCGAATTCAATAGATATTCTCATTCATTCTTAACATAATGTAAGGTCTATAACATTTATTACTACGTACTCGATCCAAAACCAGCTTCTTAGTTTACATTTTCCGTTATGGGATACGGGTAAATGGGAATCACCTAAGGACAACTCATTATACAATCAAAAATTATTCATTCAGACATATGAAAGATATCCTCATGCTCATCTTTAGTATTCTGTGGGGTTACAGTGTTTTTTATATTACCACCACTTTTATCATAAGGAACCTGTTCATCAGCTGAAATTAATCTAATGAGCTATATTGCTCAATAACAACACACGCTCTGCGAGTCCATGTTTTTGTTCTTTTGTGAAAGTAGAAATATCTTTCTAATGTTCGATTAACAAATTCTTTTTTTTTTAATTCTTTGAAATGTGCTAAAAGGAATACCAGTTTCATCAGCTATATTACGTATTGATGTGCCTTCTTCAATACGAGCAACAACTACCTGTAGCCTATTATTAAACAAACATGCTGTATAGATCGATCTTTTCCAGTTTCTTTGCCATCTGAAGTGGATAAATATTTTTTTCTTAACAATACATTATGAAAGTCTCTGCTGGTAATGAGGGTTACCTAACCCTCATTGCCCCAATGGCGGTTTTATTTTTACAAATTTAATAAAACTCAAGAAAATTAAATAACTCGAAATAGTATAGATATTTTTAGTTCTCATAGTATGCTTAACGATAACTTGAATGATAAATAGTAATAATAATAATAAATAGTAATGAATTAGCTACGTTTTCAATTAAAAATCAGCGATTTTAACAAGAACGCCTCCCATAAAATACATGTATACAAGCTCACCAGTTGGCCTTGCTGGAAGTTAATGCTTTAGTTTCTTTAAAGATTTTTAATTTAAGTCTTATAATACCTAGAAAGCCATAACGCATTGTGGCTCTAATGGAAACGCTCACAACAACTTTTTCGCTCAATGAGTAGTTTCGTTCGTTTAGCGTAACATTATTACATTACAACATTATTAATATCAATTTATTAAAATAATACATAATCATTTTATATTATGATATTTTTCTTTTATTTAATTTGGGGATTATGAAGTATTTCCATCATAGTCTATAATGTGTATGAAAAGACTTATAAATCCCCCACTTGCTTTTTTTGTGATATAAAAACATAATATATTACATTTCAAACGTTCATAGGTCCGGGCACATATATTACCGCCGAAGGAGATACGTATACTGGTGTTTGGGAAGCCGATCGTTTAGGAGCCAACGAGGAAGTGACTATTCTGTATAAGGATGGGGCCGTGTTCGAAGGAGCCTTCCGAGATTGGAGCTACAACGGTCGCGGCAGGTATTATGTGCTGACGTAATTGCGTGTTTGTAATTGACATTTCAAATCTAAATCTTATGACCGTTGACATGAGTTTATTAAACTTCTATTCATATATTAGGTACTAGTTGTTTTGGAACTGTTACAAATTATGACCTATATCACCTCCGGATGATTTAACTTCCCATAGGTAAATTAATTTTTAAAATCCGTCCAGTAGTCCATGATAATAAACAAACAATGAATGTATATATTAATTTTTAGAAAAAATTGTAAATTATTGCATGTTGTTAGTTAGAAATTATTGAATTTTTCAGTAATTAATGTTGGATTCAAGATTATATACCTGAATCTAGTAGCATAAACATTTTTTATACATAAACCTACACATATTTATTTGAATTAGGAACAGTTCAACAGAATATGTAAATAAGTAGGTACTTAATGAAATGTGTATGAATGAATATTTACTTAAGTGGAAAATCTCCTTCTTCAGGTATTATTATCCGGACGGGAGTATTTTGAAATGTGAATTCTCAGAAAGCGCTCCTGTCGGCTCTCTTAACCTAACAGATCCTAATGGACATATATGGTTAGGGAAGGCTGATCAAGGATTTGGTTGGTTAAAGCCAGTGAATCATTTCTATGATATGTTAGAAAAGACTCGGGACACTGGGAAGGTGAAGAAATCAAATAAAAAAAGTAGGAATGAATAAACAGATGTCTAGAGAGTTTAAGAGGATGAGGAAAATGAGCAAATATTAAGTTATTATATTCCCGAGAGGATAAAAAAATTAAAAATAGGTTTATTGGATTTTCATTTAATGATGATGTCTTTTTATAGCTTTTCCAGAAAACAGTAAAAGACAATGACTTAAGTGTACTCTTTTAAGGATTATTTATATTATGCTTGCTCAATAAAGGAAGCCAATAAATCTTGTTCAATAAGAGGTATTCATTAAACATTTCGTCACCTAGCCTTTCATTTATCGCACACATCTGGGCAGTTACAATAATTGAAGTAAACAGTAAACACAATCAACAACGTTTAGTGCGAGCGGGGAGTGTTCAACCGATTTAGTAACAAGCAATTTAGGGTCGATTCACATCTAAACGCAGGGACAAAGCTAGCTTTTGACAGTTATGCTCTAAGATAAAGTAAAAATGTCTATTGAGAAGATTTGCAGGTGGGTTGTAAAATGCAGTAGCGGATACATTCAGGTTGGTTTTAGTGTAACACGGATCATCCGCGCTGACGACTACGCGCGTAGCTATCAGCGCACACTCGTTTCGGTGTCGTGTTGATCGCTGCGAAGTATAGACATGACCAATCCTGTGAGTTGTTTAAATTGCTGCAATGTAGGTATTATTTATGCAAAAAAGAATCAACAAATCCACTCTTTCTCAAATATTGCCAGTGGGTGCATCTGTGACGTTGTTCAACGAGATGACACTGTTTGAAACAACCTTGAAAGGGATGACCAAACCAAGTTCTTTAACTATTGTTGCGTGTCAACAAGAAATTTTGATGCAATAATTAATGGCAAAGATTAATGATAAGTTACCACGATGCAGTAGGACTTGTTTCTAGCGTAGTTACTTTTGTAGAGAGGATCGGATGCATTTACGCACTTCTCTTGTGTTCATCTTCATTCCACATAACTGTACAAGTTGACGGCTCGGCTCAACACTGGAACGCTCAACACTGGAACGCTGAATAGTAAATAGACTGGAACGCTCGCTGAAGGCAGAGGCGCGCGTGCGAGTCAGCGCAGACCGTTCAGTGGCGCCGACACGCAACGCGTACGGCCGCGCATGGCATAGCGTCGACGCTCGTCAGCGCTGAGCGGTTGGCGCGACAGTCAGCGTGATACTACAACCAGCCTTATATCACTTTCGTTGGGTTTTAATTATTTTTAACATAATCATTATTAACTTGTAGGTTAATTTTACAGACCTTGTAAAGGTTCGTAGGACTTCAGAATAATGTGAGAACTATTGGTTTAGGAATGACTTGTAGAAACGATTTCAGTTTTTATCAAAATTTCTGAATAACATTTTCAATGCTTTCTTTCTTTAAAAGCTTATTTATGTAAAACGTGTGAGATTAACATATATAGCCAAGTGAGGCTATTAATTTGAAAGTAATGACTTCGCGTTCGGTGTGAGCAATCCTAAACTGTTACAACCCGCTGAGCACTGTTACTCGCTCCTCCAGTTAAAATACACACTCCACGCGACACTTGAGCATTTGAACCCACTTATCTTAACGTACAGAGCATACAATCGGAAGCAATAGCTTTTGACACTGTAAGTAATGTAACATGTTTTAGGACGGATGTTTGTGTGACCCAAATTGTAGGACATTCGAATTTGAATTTTTATTCAGTAGTAAATATTATAAGATTACTGTTATTTATATTTTAAAAGTTTACCTGTTAAATCATTTTATAGATATTATATATCATGAAGCTGATGCAATTTGGTATAGCTTCTGTGCGAAGTTTCTCTTTTCTTTTATAACTAGCAAAGCAGACAGCTTGTCGCCACCTACAGCATAGATTGTAACATTCTATTTTGTATTAATACTACGCATTATATATACATTTGCCTTGTAGCTTTGGCCTCGACTGTACGCCCACTAGCTGCACTTGAGAGAGCCGATGTAAGAAGACCTACAGCTTTTATATTGGTTGTTCCGAAAGCCATACATCAGCACGTATCAGTTTGGTTAGGTTCGGGAGTGGAAGGCCAATTTATAGTGGCTTTTACGCGATGTTAGGAGCGGCTTGCTTCGTGACACCTAGCCATGTATCTTGTGAAACAGTGCCTCATGTAATTAATAATTAGACCGGCTATAGCGAAGGACACTGGTTTTGCGACTGTTCGTGAATTTTCCAGGGTTTTTCTTTTGGTACATAATTAACCCAGATACATCTACTTATGTTTCGGTATAGGTACCTACTTAATAATCATATTATCAATTATCAAAAAGTACCTTAATTACCTTAATCTACAATGTGTTGACATTTTTAATAGATTAATCAGGTATTTCATCTGGACAAAATCTTATAAGAAATAAATATTTCATATCCAATTAGATGAAACTCAAGCAGAGGGTGTCAATTCTGTGAAATGTTTTCTTTACAATCCCTTATATAAGAGGGCGTGCACACAAAAAAAATACGAACTTTAATTGAATTTAATTTTAGATTTAAACTTATTATATGAATGATACTTTGTATATTATTATTTAGATATATTTCATCTATATCTATAAAATAAAAAAATTATAAAAAAGTATCTACACCCCTTTGTGTAGAGACTTCTAGAAAAGAAAGTCCGAGTAAGGTGTAATTTTAAACTAAAAAACTACCTCTTTGAAACTACATCACATATATAAGATATAGGGGCATTAAGAAATAATAATTTATAAAAGTTTTTCAATATAAAAAATACAATTATGTCCCTTTAAAATTCTAAAAAAAATGATAAATAATGTGAGTCACTGTATACTCGAGGACTTTTTTTCTTTTATGATAATCGTAATTGTTTGCGATTTTTCCTTTTATCCTACTGTATTACTTCGTAGGGCTGAGTTCGTAAAACTTAACTATTATCTAAAGGGACTTTCCGTTCTTTCCTTTACCCTACTAATTTGCTCTATGAAAAATGATAATTTCAACAGTTCTGCAGTTATTCATTATGAGTATTGTAAAACAACACTCTGCTGTTACTTATAACACAGAAATTACTAATAAAATAAGAAAAGATAAAGTTTGCACTCAAAAAACTAAAGTGAAATGCGTTTCTACAACAAAATTCTATACGTTCCTAGGCCCATTACTATACAATAGATTAAATGCTGTAGCTATAGCGCATATTCACTCACAAAATTTTAGAAATTGTAAATTAAAGCTTAAAGAAACATTGCATACAATACGAAGAATATGGATACGGATACAATACGGAGAAGAATACACAGAGAAGCTTTTAATCGTGTTAAAGTAAGTTTTTTATTCCTATTATTAACTTGTTTATTTTATTTTTAATATTTAAGATAGCATGTTTGCTGATTATGCAGTAATTATAATAATTAAACTATGTTAGCTCTACTTGTCTGACACACAGGTCGACCTAGTTTAGACATAAACGAAAAATGTGTACACACAGACAATGTAACTAATGTTGTTTTATGCAAATACAAATAACAATAGAAACTATGTAAAAAAATTAATATAAGCTATTATAAACTAACATTACCTTTAAATGCAATGTAATACTAACCAAGATGTAATTTATTAATAAATTATTATTAATATTATTATTATTTAAATAAACTTTCTGTTAGTTTGTAAATAAAGTTGCTGCGCTTGATTTGCTATACTATGTCCCTATTTATCCGATTGCCGGGGGAAGTCTTAAAAAGGTAACTAAGTATACTTAATTTAACTCTAATATAAATAACTTTTAAATACTTCAAAGTAATTGTAGATAGACAGACGTCTATGCTTAATTATGGAACATTCATAATCCATCATTGTAACAGCACAATGATAAAACAATATATATAGTATCAACAAAATAATTTTGTATCAAATAGTCCTAAGCTTATTTTTAATTCGTACAACCAAATCAATCTTACAATGGCAGCGGCGCCGGCAATCACGTGCCGATGATCGCGTCCAGTTTGAACTTGTGACCCTTATGCCCAGCTTCGTTTAGGTACGGAGCTTTCACCGAGATACGTTTTTGTTTTGCTGCTACAATGAACCCTCGTGGATTGATATGTTTTTTATGTTTGACATTAATTTTATTACTGTATTTTTATTTTGTAAAGCTGTTTTCCCGTGCTTGGTTAAATAAAAGCCTATGTCACGTATAATGTAGCTTCTCGTAGGTGAAATGAAAAAAAAAATTTAGTAGATTTGGAGCCTTATTCAATGCAAATAAACAAACAATTAAATTTTCACTCTTAAACTATCGCGCTGCATTATGAAATATTTATACTTACAAAGGTCGATCTTAGAATAGTTGACAAAAAATTAATAATCTCCAGCTCCTCCTGCTTCCAAGAAAAACGCTGTTGGTAGGGCTGGATTAGCCACGTAGTAAAAGTAACAAATGCTACGGGCCCCCTGAATTGAGAACCTCGCTATGGTTCAGAGCCAATAAATTAATTTTTCATGTCAGTATTAAAATATATCAAGAAATAAAATAAGCCAAGCTTGTGACTAAATTTATATTTATAATTATTTGATAGCTCTACTTTAATGGTGTGATGTGGGGCACGAGTGGAACATATATGATTAATTTTCGAAAGTTAGGTGGGTACTAAAATTCTTTTTAGTTAATAATGTTGCTATGGCTTTCTTGTAAGCAAGGAAAATATTTCTACAAAAAAACTTATATATCTTCATTAAATAAATGTCCTAAATTATATTTTAGTACTATAAACTGAATCTTTTATCGACTTTGTTATCGTAGTCAAATAGTTTAATAGCTATATCATAGTCTTCTTAAAATTTAAAGTAGTTGTCAACACGTGGGCTACAAGGACATAGCAAATCAGCGTACCTACTTATTTTACTCGTATAACAAATCGTATAATCACTTATTCGACTCTATTACTTATTCGAGAGTCACATGATATTTTTACTATTTTTATATTAATTCAATAAATAAAATGCAATTTCTGTTAAATATGTGTACAAAATGAATTGATCAGTATAAGGTACTATACGATGATAAGATACTATAAGACAGTATTTTTAAACCTTTTTTATGACACGAACCGCATGGTATGAAAAAATGGTAAATCCCCACCCCTCCCAAAACTTTTATACAGAAAACCAAGGCCTGAATTCTGCTTATATTTTCGTTATAACCGCATCTCAATAACTTGCTTTTTGCGATTTTCTTGAAACATGATATTATTAGTCTAATATCTTCTTCACAAATCAATGCTGACAGATATGTTTCTTACTTTTTTTTTGTTTAAATTTTCTTAATAGTTCTCTCGATGTGACCGACCCCCGCGACCGCTCTACAGAAGTTTCAAGACCCACCTGGGGGTCCAGACACATACGTTGAAAAATACTTCTATAGAAAAAAAGGAATCCGTGATTTTTGTCTTTTGAGGTAAGAGACCTAAAATAAGTTGATAAGAATGACAACCCAGTTACTTAATAATATCCATTTAAACATCTTCATCAAAATGTTATATCTGCGTGTATTTATAAGTAGTTTTTTATATTATTTCTACTATCATACAAATCATGTACCTAACCTTTACCCATCTTATTTCATCCACTTATAAGGTACATAAAATTTTTCATGTAGTGCATAAGACAAGCGATATGTGGCGAGGGAATGGATGAATTTAATATGGAAATAACACGATATATACGTGTAAAATAATAGTATAAACTTTTAAATCAACGCGTGGGTTATAATTTTGGTTAGATACATTTTAGTTTTAAAAATTACATCAGCCGGATCTATTTGAACAAAACAAACTGCTTAGTTTGAGTCATAATTCCTTAAAAGAACGATAAAAATGGCTGTTCGTCAATGAAACTGTTTTAACGTTGTACTATTCGTATACGACTACTTAAGCAGCTGAAAGTCTTCAAAGTATGTGAAGGAATGGTTTCAATTTTGCCTTGAAATTCTTAAGGTTTGCCTTCGAGACACTTATCTTAATCAAAGTTTATAACTATTGACAAATTGACCATTGTGAAACTGGCATATATCTACTTCTTTTTATTGTTTTAAAATTTAAAAGTTATTTTTAGTCAAATCAAATTGTTATTTACGGTTAAGCTATGTTACGACAAAGTTCTGATATGTACATAAATAAGACAATCTAACTGGTTTTTCATTTTAAACTGACTTCAAATCAAAAAGGAGGTTATATGTTCAACGGCAATGTATTTTTTTACGTGGGTATGTTCACTGTTTTTTTCCGAGATTTGATAATTGTTGACCGATTTTCAACATACTTTTGTTGTTAGACAGCTTAATGGTTCGAGGTGGTCCCATTTTAATTTAACAAAATCCAATAAGTTTTTTTCCTTTTTTTTATATTTTTTTTCATTTAATATCACCTAAATATTTAGATAACATGTTTATATCGGTGAAAAAACAAAAGATTTGTATTCATTCAAAATTCGAAAGAAGGATTTTCTATGTTAAACGGTTATGAACATACTTTAAAAATTTCTCTCGACACCTGCTGCTGCTGATAACAATATTGTTCTTATATTGATTTGCACAATAAGACAAAGGGATCTTATGTTTTTTAATAAAATACGTACCTACTTTACTACAAAAACAACTCGCTATAATCGCAATAATCACTTTCCACCATGTGAGCGGCTGTCTGAAATTTTTCTAAAGTACGAAAAAGATGAACAATCCTATTTTTAATTTATTCAAGGTCGAAGGCAATGTCTAGGTAACTATATTAAGTAGTAGATAAGACAAGTACACAGAGCCGTCGAATTTAAAATGGAAAATTACACGATGATTAGGTTAATTTTAATAAATTTATTACTGTAAATAGAAATTTTATAATAAATATAAAATACGCTGAAATAAGAACCTAAAAATAAACAACGAAATCACCTGTAATATAATTAAACTACAGTTATTTTCAAAAAGTACAATTTCACGATACGTCACCTCTAACAAAAGCGCAACAAAGATATTTTCACTGTATTCATTTAAAATAATGTCGCTATTTTTGAGATGCAATGTGTATTATTTTTCTAAGTAAATATAATGTGAATATCAATACTGTTTTCGCGCTTTTCTGAAAACTCTTGAATGGATGGTTGGCGGCAGACTTTCCCATCTCAGAGTGGTTTCCGATGCCGCGGCGTAGAGACGCGCGCGCCCGCGCTGGCGCGGCCCTTATCGCTTATCAGCCCTTATCACTTACTCATCGCAAAACCAATCGCCTCGATACACCGCGCAAATAATCATAACCGCCCCAGATGAGCTCGCGACGATCATGTATCGGAAAGTGTTGTGTTTATGTGTGTTTCTTTTTCTGGGATATGTGAATGGTCAAGGTGAGCTATTGTTTATTTTGTGATTTATTGATAAGAAAACGAAAAACTAAACACTATTCGGTTATCTATAGATATAATAGTTACTAAACAGCTATTTTTCATGAATCATAACGATAAATTAATACAAAAAATAAACCTAATACGTCCTTATCAAATCTGGATTTGTTATAATTTTTAACTTTGCATATCCACTTTTCATTGACATAGGTATTCGTTTTTCAGTAAAGTTAGTTATGGAATTAATTAAATGCTTTATTTTAATAATGTTGCAAGCGACGAAATCCTTAGCGGAATACCTACTATAGGTAAAAAGGTAATATTTTACTTTATGGCTTTATCCTGCATAATGGCGTGATGTCATAAATGTGAATAATACGTAGCCATGCAAATAAAACGTAATGACACTAATTTATTAAAGTATTACCTTGAAGCTACACTAAATGCGTCATCGTAAGAGTAAAAGGTAACGCACGAAACAGACACACGCAACTTCTAAACTTCCGAGATAAATGAGTATACATCTAAAACGTGTACGCCTTCAGACAGACAGGACCAATTAAAATAAAATAAAAGTGAGCCCTTATCTGAATACGGACGCGGACGTAACTTCAAAAGATTTATTTTATGTGTTACCGCAACCAAAATAACTGTAGCACGTGCCAACGATCACCTGTTACGGGCATTAGTTTAACTTAAATGGAAATATTCCTGTCAGATTGTCATTTTTATTTTTAGTACTATAGAAACGATGGCGTCTAACGAACTGTTCTACACAAATGTAGCTATTAACGATTGCGATAACGTGCAGCTGAAAAAACATATATTTTTCAAGATAAAGTATTCACGCGAATTGTAGTTATGTTATGAATTGAGTACTTTTTCAGTTAACCTACATTGCTTTCACGGATTGACTTTATTACCGACTGAATTTTATATCGTACTAGCTGACAGATTTTGTTTAATTATGAAATTTTGCAACACGCATTCTGTCGATGTCAATTCTATGTCTAACGTTATTAGGATACATTAAAAAGTTTATATTATCCAATGCACTAAAGTTAGATTAGGAATAATATTATTTTAAATTTTCAAGTTTTCCACACAATTTTCTTATTTTTTTCATTCATAGGAACTTTTTTTTGCAATAACATACACGACAAAAAATAATTAGCGAAATTATTTCGCTATGTGGATATTTTACTGTGACCATAACGCGTCAGTGAGCGATGTCGATCTTTGAGTTTAACATATATAGATATTGACATTGTATTTGTATTGTTTATATTACAAATGGTGCGACTTATGAAAAGCAGGCTTGGTTGTTAAATGTTGTAGATATTGAATTGCCTTGAATTATTATTAAAATAATAAAACTATTTAAAACGGTAACACCAAAATATTGGGATCATTGCAAACGGTATCCGAAACGTCTGAAAAATGTAATAATTTTTAAATGATAATCTTGATAAAACCGTTTAAAAGTAGTTGTATTATTTTTTGTGTTAAAATATAAGAAACTAATTTTAGTAAATTAGAATTTGAGTTTTATTCAAATTGATTACAGATATTATGAGTATGTTTCTATTAAATTCATTTGTTAATATTTTAGTTCTATTCTCCCATATGATATGTTTAAGAGTCCCCAAAAGTACAACCAAACAAGATTTGGAAGTAATCCGTGAATTCCCTTGGGAAAGAAATCTGTCAGTGAATGACGCGACGAAATCATCGTTTCGTCTTCGATCTCTCTTTGTTGAGTCAATTAGATACGTTAGTTTCATTGTGGGCAAGAGTAAGTGGGTTGAATAGAAAAGGGCACGGCATCGGTCTTCCAAAAACAAAGCACCGGTAATATAATTGCATGCGTTGAATATAAAACGTCTAATAATGTCGTATGTATTAACAAAGTAGAATTCTATCGGAGCTTCCAATATTCTCAATGAATTCAATAAGACTTTAATTTATTTTATAAATACCTATTTGATTTTAATAAAACGTCTTATAATGTCGTTGAATATAATTCCATCGGAATTTCCTTTTTCTATAGAAATATACAATACATATAGGTATCTATAATTTAAGTTCATTTGATAGCTCAGAAAATAACATATTCTTAGCAAAAATCAACCATACTATCTATACTAATATTATAAAGAAGAAAAATTTGATTATTTATTTGCATTAAATAGGCTCCGAAACTATTGGACCGATTTAAAAAAATCTTTCACCTACGAGAAACTGCATTACTGTCACGCAGGTGACCCAGGTGACATATGCAATAATACCTATTAAGCGGCCGGAGTCACTGGTTTGTAACAATCGTGAAAAACATAACTTATAGAAACGAGATTATGAACACAACAAACCATACAAGCTCTCTACTAGCTTATTAACATGTAATTTTCTTGTTATACGGCACCAATATTGATTAGGTTAGCCCTTTAAGAAAATTGATCAATAAATATAAATTGTTGCTGGCTCATAAGATTAAGTACCTTTTCACGTTTAACCTTTGACTTGCAATTATCACCTCTAAGGTCTACTTAATGTCGATGGTGTGTAGGAAAAAAGTTAATACAACGTAATTATCGAATGTTCGTACGATCTTATCGACGATCGAATTAGGCAACACTCAATTAGCCCAAATATTAGACACGTGCTGTGTTTATAGTTCAATATTATCGAAAAATCTTTTATTTATATCTGTGTACTACATGTTTTCATGTTTTTATCTACTATCATCATCAGCCCTTTTACGTCCCCAATGCAGGGGCTCAGGCCTTCCTTATGGATGGTTAAGGAGGATGGGCCGTGACCCTCTACGCTGACTTATGCGGATTAGAGGGTATTAACGACTGCAAATGCAGTCGGGACCAACGGCCTAACGTGCCTTCCGAAGCACGGAGTAGCTCGAGATAATAATTTTTTGGTCACCCATCCCGAGACCGACCCTTGCGAAAGTTGCTTAAAGACAACGATCGCGGGCCGCGGCGCTTATCCGCTACGCCACCGAGCTACTACTATATCTACTATGATTTTAACAAATTATTTTTAATTGGAAGCAAATTTTTATAGGCTAAATGATTAGTTTTTTAAATATATAAACCTAATACAAATTTATATCCAGATGGATACGCTATGCTCAAGGGAATTCCAGTAACGAGTATTTTACGCCGAGACTAGTTTATCTTTATTGTACTGCCTACATCCTTCAAGTGATGTGGTGTGGTGGCAATTAACAAGTATTGAATAATATTCATTAGACAGCATAGTAATCGTATCATCTTCAAATATAATGATAACCCAAAATACATAATTTCAACAATTTGCCGCGTTCATCTTGGTCATCTTTGATACTAGATATAATCAAAGTTGGTCAAGTTCGTATCTTTCTTCTTAGTTAAATTACATGACTACATGGAAAATAGTCCTCTTTGTAATGCGGTCTATATAGAAGATAATTCATAACTTTCCCTGTCTAATTATATATTTGATCAATATATTTACCTGTTTAATTTTGTATCTATGTACCAAAATAGTTATTTTATTATATTACTCGAATATAAATCTGGATACAAACAATATAAAATGTAGTAGAAATTTATTTTCTGCTCTTTCAGCAGTATGAAATGAAATAAATTTCTACTACATTATGAATAATGCTCTAATTTTATGTCCAACCAATTGGCGAACTTAACGTAAATACACAAGATAACAAAGTATACACGGCTAATTTTGAAGTATATCAAAAATCGTAAGAGGTGCATTAGAACATTTAATATAATAAATACCTATAACAGTAACATATTAAACATGTGCATATTAAAATAACCTCTCTAAAAGCACATAAAATATAAAGTAATAAATAAAGTCTTTGAAAACACGTAAATATTCGTAAACTCGCAACTATCAATTAGACAGCAACATGACATTACATGACATTCATTCTTTTCATGACTAACGAAACAAAATAGAAGGTAACATTAATTTATAATTCGCAATGTAAAACTTTAAATAAATTAAGACAAATTTTAGGACTCAAACAATCATTAATAACTTGATGAATATTTACTGCACATATTTGTTTATTTGTTTAACGACAGAAAAGATTCTAAATTTTTAAGAAATGTTTAAATATTAACGTGGAATAAGTAATTTATAGTATAAGTTAACTTACACAACATAAAATTGAATTTTGTGATCGTTTTGTAAACAAGTAGAGATCTTAAAGCTCTATATTTGTATTGACATAATAATCGGCCTATTTATGATAGGAGCGTACGATTGGATGACATTAGGTGTTAATCTGGCGGACACGTAATCTTTTTGTTATACGCCCACACAAATTATGTCAACACATTGCATACACTATAGTCTATTCAGTTGTTGACCCATTTTTACATCACGTTTCTCTCTATGTAAAAGTAAGCTAACTCTAAACGTTACACTTGATTTAGTTTGATTTATGGGTTCTGTATTAAAAAAGAAACAATTTTAACACTTATAGGAACACTTGGTTGTCTGTCTGAACAACAAACTTTCAGCGAAACTGCTGAGCTGATTGAATTGAAATTAGTTATACATATGTGAGTCGATGACTCAAAAGACGCCTTTGTAAATAAATGGATTTGAATGAACTAATTGATTGTTTCAACAATTTGTTTTTGGGGTTAAGTTAAAACAATAATTAAAGTTTTGGAAAAAAAAATTTATACATTATTGTTTGGAACCTATATCATGTGACATATGAAATGAAAATTGGAATGGAATGGAAATTGTAATGTTATATTATCGGAATAAATAATTTCAAGTTAGAGAATAAATTTTTTTTTTCCGTTGATATTTGACGAACTTGAGAAAAAAAAATTATTTACATAATATACTTAGATTACAAGAAACATGATATAAAAATTACATAATTTTTCTAACTCAGTTGGGATTTAAAATATATAAATAAATAAAGATTTCCCACTGTAATTTAGTTTTTTTTTCTTAATATAATCATCATTACAGGTCCAGGTGCTAAGGGTGTTGCGCTTACCAACAAAGGCAATGAATTATGTATAATAGAAGTGTATTTTAATGAAGGTTTCCTACGTCTACAAAAGTCCAGAGACACCACGTCTACATGGAAAGACAGACAATAAGTCTTTAGTGATTTTCGTTTCATCTTAGAAATAAACTAGCTCCTGAGACACAAGTTTTATAAGATTCAGTTATAATAAATTAAAACTACTTATCTAATCTATAACTAAAACTATATCAGTTATTATTATAAAGAAAACATCCCCCAAATCATTGCTATATGGTTTATTAATATATCTGGCAAATTATGTAATAAAGATTTTCACGTCGTTTAAAATTTTCGACGAGTACCTACTTTTGTATGCTATCGACATTAATGAACGTGTGTGCAAATGCGCTTGTTTGTTTGTGATATTACGAATGGTAGCAACAGATGAAGTAGATACTGACAGTGATTTGTTTAGTTAATTGTCCTGTCATACATAATACATAATCTTGCCTTTTAAAGATGCGTGTATAATTCACCATTCCTACAAAATAAATTATATCGTATTTATTAAATGAACAGGTACCTCAATAAGTAATTCATATGGATGAGCAGTCTTCTCATCAAATTGATTATTAATATCACTTGCAATGATCACATAAATCGACGTCATATAACATCACGCCAGTTTTTTTTGGGAAATTTAAAAAAATACAACCGGCATCAAAAAGGTGAAAACTTTTCTGAACTAGGTTTTCATTTTTTTAAAATTATTTATTTTAATAATAGGATATAAAAAATGATTAGTACAAATATTATTGGAAAATAAATTATACAATTTTCTTTACTTCGACTTCATCAATATATTATCTATGTAATTTGTTATTTGGAAGAATCCAATTAGTAATTTGAATATAAAAAAAATCTGATTAGATTTTGATAAAATTTTAATAGAACATTCGACGACGAGCTCGAGGCCGTTTTTATAGCACTGTAAGACCGTAAGATTTCTAAATAAAACATAAAAAATAAATTGTCTCTGATTCCCGGAGAAATCAATGAATACACAATAAAAAAATCATATCAAATTTTGATTTGGTATGATAGGTATCATATATACCTGTCTCAGATAGAACCACCTCCTTTTTGATTTAGATGTTGGTTAAAAATAATGTATCTTAAAGCGATTGACAAGTAAACACTAGTTTTTCTTTCGAATATATAAATAAAATCTCTTAAGGATGATATAAAACTCAAAATACTAGAGCATTTCTATGTAATGTAACATTCGAACAATGTGTTCCGATTTTCTATACGTGTTATTCATAACCATGGCTTGTGCCCTAAGAGGTAGTGATAATAATGCTGGTATTTGTATGTTTACTTTCAGCTGAGCAACAATTGCTCAATAAACTAGCGTGCATCGATCACGAGGAATGCGGTGCCTGTTTGTCAGCTGCACCACACTGCCGCTGGTGTGCTGATCCCTACTACAAATCCGCTGTTCCTAGGTGCAACGACGATGTAAGGTATTTAACGTGGATATCTTTATTTTTACTCATCATCATCTGTCTATGAATGTCCCCACTGTTGGGGCACAGATCCTCCCTATGGATCACTTCGAATCAAATCGAATATGGAGGAGGTCACACAAGTTATGATCGACCTCTTTTTTGTGTTCCCTGTGACCGGCTTTTGCGATTAGAATCCCACACCGAATGATAGCTACTATGTCATCGAGCTTCACTCTTTTGGCTCGGCTTATTTTTACTAAGATAAGAACATTTATTAAAACTATTTTGAATACAACATTATACGCAACGTCCTAATTCGTAAGTGAATTTTATATATTTGTTTATTAGGCGAGGCTGAGATAATCGCTTTACATCCGCACATTTTTACACTAGTCTAGCCACATTAGGCATAGCTAAGACTATGCCTAATGTGCTTTTGATTTTAGTATGGAATGTAGATTTTAATCATGTTACCATAAAAGATTAATTTATCACAATTATTAAATTAACAACTTTTAATAAGTTCAATCTGATATGAACACGGAACCTGTAAAGGTTCCAAAACGTCGATAAAATTAAATACAAACGCGATGACACAGTTTAAAAGTTATTTGATTTAATGGATTGTACGTGTGAAAATATAAGAAATCAATCATCACAACTAATTATGAATTTAATTAAAAAATACTAGCTGTTTTCCCGCCTATTATAGCCTATACCAACCACGTATGATATATGTAGCTTCCCGTAGGTGAAAACATGTTTATGGTCGTATGAGTATTACCGAAGATTATCCCCCACCAACACAAAAAGTTTGAAACTGTAGCTTTTTATCATAACAGTATATATAGATCAAGTTAAAAACAAAATCTTCATTAAAATTAAATCTTTGGGAACAGCTGGAAGAAAGAACGTCAACTTTATTACCTTTTCTGTTTTATTCAAATAAACATGAATTCAATCTCTAAATAGTGACAGTGGCAGTGCTGTTGTTCGAAATGGTATTTTTGATAAAATACTGCTTAAAATATTGAATTCCTTTCCGAAACAAGACGCTTGAATCAACATTAACGATTAAAAATAACAGTTTTGCGCCATTTCCATTCCAACAGACAGAGTTCGAATGCAGGAAACCTGATTGGATCTATCTTTTTTGTTTGTTTGTATAAGTATTTTCAAATCAACAAAGACAAATATAAATAAGTATTTATGTACATCAACAAGAAAATCATATATTGACAGTCTTTCTAATTCTTTGTAATCTTTGAAAACCATAATTGTTATGAATGCAAGAATCTACTGGTACTGTATGCAAGTGTTGTATAGTAAATTCATCATTAATAAAACGGACGTGCGTTGTGCATAAAGCACCTGACAAAGCATGTTAAGTCGGGTATTCTAATGTCGAATCATGCATCGCATAAAATATTAGAAACGGTACCTTGTCTATGTTAAAATATATGACGTTTATATCGTATTTATTGACATTAATCACTTGCCTGGCTGAGCTGTTATTAACTTGCTGAAACTGACGTTCGATTCTGTCTTTGGTCGATGTAGAATAAACTTTGCAATGGAGTGTCTTGATTATTTTCTTCCAATCTCCGCAACACAATTTCTTATCTTGAGTTACTTATCTCAAGATCAAAGTATGTATTATTTGTGTAATTTTTACGCCTTTTTTCAATCATATTAGAGACTTCTTAAAGATATCTTTAAGAATTTCTTTATTGAATAATCAATATTACAAAATTAATTTCGATAGGCCAATTAAGTTTACTATACGAATTTGGAGTGATGATTTATCAATTTATCCGAATGTTATATTTCCCAACGTTCAGTCGGTCGAATGAAATATGTTAAGAGATGAAAGTAAGCACGAGCCAAGTTTAAAGAACGCCGACTTGACGGGACCCTGTTCCCACGTTTGGACGACTGGCTAATCAAGACGATGGTCGTATGATTGATTATTGATTGGACGCCAGCCACAGGATCAATGCTTTTCAATAGACATATTTCGACGCACGCTGCGTTAGGTAATTTCGTTGGTACTGACTTTAGGTAGTAATTGTGCTTTGTCAGTTTGATGTTACGTTTGCTGGTGGTCAAACGAATAGATTCGTTTACAATCTTGAATAGTACTTAATATGATCGTCACAGTTTCGTTATAGGAAATCGATGCCGAAAACCTATTCTGGCAGTTAACCCAAGTTAGCGGATCCCCTCAATTGACGAAGGATTATAAAATAAAAAATGATACGCAACAAGCCATTTATTTCCTTGGTCACTAGTACATGAATTTTATGATAACAATTTAGTATAATAATTAACCTCGCACTCCTCCTTAATGATTAACCTCAATAACTAATAAATAATAAAGTGTTTGGATATTTATACTTTTTTACAACACAAAACACAGAAAAGAGGCAATTTATTTTTTGTACGCCTCTTGGCTATGTTTTTAAAAATCGTAAATCCAAATGAGGTTTCAATAAATTAAATAAAAAGTATGCAAGTGAAATCTCCCTTTTCCTAATATAGTTCACAACTATGTATAAAGTTTATAAAGTGTTGGCCCGAGAAAATTAAAGTACGATAGGGAAAGTCTTATTAAAGATTAGATTTAGTATACTGACAGAGTAATTGTAGTAAATGAAATCCCTACAGTAAATGTACTTTACGACTGCTATTGAGTTTCTAAATAATAAGGAAAGTTATTTACTGTACTAAATAACATTATAGTAGATTTTCCAATATGACAGACTTGAAACGGTTTTAAATATTATGCAGTAGATTACGACGAAATTATGAAGTAGTAGACGTAGCTTTTCCATTATAAAATTCTTTTATACGACTGTACATAAACTAAACTGAATATAAATAAACATACTTGGTATATAGTAATATCTAATATCAATTTGGCATCAATTTCTTTTCACGTTCAATCTGAGAAATATAAATAAACTCCTGTATGATATATAAAATAATAAGTCTAGATATAAAAGAAGTTTTGTCATAAAATTTAAAACGCAGTCTTATCTCCTAAATTAAAACTTAGCCTAATTTTTGTGCCAATAGACCAATTATATTAATTTTATTAAATGTATTTTCGTTGTTTAACTGATGTTGTCATCTTCGATAAGTATCACCGTCTTTCTATACAAAAAAATTATTATAATGAAGATTCCAGATCTAATATTATTCATGGGAGACTTTTCAAAAGTATTGTGAGTGAGTACAGTATTCGTTAAATTCATCATCATCAGCCTATAAAAGTTCCCAATGATGGAGTGTTGGTTTTCCCTATAGATGGAATTTAATCGAACTTAACAAGGAGAATCGGCCAGTTTGGTGTTAATTCATGGGTGCGGCAGCAGATGTAGCCAAAGCCAACGGCTTAACATGCCTTCTAAAGCACGCAGGAGCTCAAAATAACAAATTTTTGGTCACGAAATAGCTTGTAGGCCAAATGCGCTAACCATTTTACTTTTATATGTCAGTATAACTTGAAACGATATGTTTGTATGATTTCGTTTAACCACAAATATTTGTTTAATATTAAGGAACTTACTTTCAGAATTCACCAGGAAACCAAATATAAAATAAATACGAAAGTAACAAGACTAAAACTCTAGAGTGTATCTCGTAAACTTCGGTGCATTACGGTAGCTAAAATTAACTTACTAGAGCGCGACTCCGAGTGAAAACAGTTGCATATCCCCTATTAGTTTTACGAGTTTGTTTGACAGACAAATCGGCGTTTTTTCACATCTAAAAAAATATACGGAAGTTCATTAAACTTTGTATCAATGAAAATGTGAATATGGCGCCGGCGCTACAGTGTAATCTCTTGTATATATATGTATACATATAATAGAGTATGTTTAATCAATGATATATAAAACATAGATACAGTGGTAACATAAAGTAAGATTTCAGACTTTACTAATGTTCATCTGTTGCCTTATAACTTTGAACTACAGTAAGAAACCATATTATTTTTTTTTATTTAAAAGCACTAATTACTCCTTAACAGAGAGTGAAACAATAAAGCTGTAATTTCATGTGTTCATCTATTGTATGATATATTTGTATAACAGACACCATAAACAAAAATGTCTTACTTTAAATATGTTAATTAAATTACAAGGACGTGTACAGGTATATTGCAGTTATTGAGATATTGCTTATTTAATTTTCCTTAAGTTAATGTCGAATGTGTGTGATTTATGTCACTTACTCAATTATATTGAATGAGTTTTTTTTACAGTTTTTGGGTATTTTGAGTTGACGTATCTTTACTAGTATTATCAAGCCTTTGTTGTTTTACAGTTTGGTGCAAAGTGGTTGCAGCCAAGGCCTGATTCAGCGACCTTTGCCTGCGCTGTGGGAAATTGTATCTAACAATACGTTACAAGATGTACAGCCTGGCAACATCTTAGGCCATGTGGTACAAATCCAGCCGCAGAACATACGCCTATCTTTAAAACCAAGTAAGTAATGTGGGATCGCGTAACTAAATAAAAATGCATTCTTATACTGGAAACTAAAAAACATAATTATAATTTAGATAACAAGTAGACGAGTGGATATATTCAAGGTTTACACATCTATGTACGTTCATACATATCAACTATTCAAATTCTATACTTCGTTAGGAACGTGTTACAAAAACCAGTTACAACGAGGCGAAATATTACAAACTTCACAATATTTACTGCCTCGTTTACCAAAGGGTACGCAAAGTTCTGAGGTCAAGCATCGTATTTGGTGTTAACCTGAAGTATTTTAACTACATGCTGTCTTAAGTTCAATAGGTACATGACATTCGTCAGATACACTGTCTCTGACAGCATACTGGAATTCGATATGGAAACGAATAATAAAAGGCCTTGGGTAACCTTTTCAGCTTTTGTAGAATATGAAGAAAATTATATTTACGATAAATGGTTTTTGACTTAAGTATTAACTATTATATTTTGATTAATTTTGCATTCACAATGCTATACTGAAAATTATTCTTAATACAAAATGATTAAAAATCCACCTGGTCCCTGGTACCCTGAGATGGGAATCGAACCCACGATCTTTCGCAATCCGGGCGACTGCTCTAACCGCTGAGCTACCCAGGACCTAACAGCACTGACAAATCTTTCAAGCACTTGTCACCCTTCACTACTACAAAGCGTATTCTCATCAATATTGGTGGTCTCTTATTATATACTTTTTTTAAGGGGAGACCAGAAAGGTGAAGTTTTCATATCGACCGGCTAAAAACTATCCTTTGGACTTGTATTATCTGATGGACCTCACGTGGTCTATGAAAGACGACAAAGAAACCCTGGTCAGTTTAGGCGATGCCCTCACCGTCACATTGAAGAACTTAACGGATAATTTCAGGTAAAAACACTGAAGAATCTTCCGGCAGATTTGTACGGACCTAAAAAGTCAGTTAAGCAAAAATGATTATGTTAATTCAGACTGCATACACATAATAATAAACAATGGGGAATTAGATTCCAACAAACATTTTCATGTAAAATGTCAAAGCCGAGACCATACCACTTGCATCATCAAAAACAGAACTTGTAGAACTAAGATTACTATACAAACCCTTACTTCACAAACTCTACACCTTATTCAAAACATATGCCTCGGCCATTTCGCTACCGTCAAATAGACATAAGGGGACACATTTATTCACCGTTCATTACTTTTCTGCTATACCATAGTTCTTTTTTGTAGAAACGTAACGGCTAAATAGGCCATCAAAATATGTAAACTTTTCCAAATCATATATCAATTTTGGACTAACAAAGATCTCCTCCAATGTGAGGCGTTAGTTTCTTATCAGTTGTTAACATTATTAATGTGATTCGTTTTTTATAGGATAGGATTCGGTAGTTTTGCTGATAAACCGCTAATGCCCTTCATCAGTGTGGACGAAAAGCGACTGGCTAATCCTTGTGCTATGGAAGAACATGCTTGTGAGCCCACCTACAACTATAGGCACCATCTATCGCTTACCGACCAGGTGACTTTCGCAAAATTTACATTTAAAGTTTTACTTACACAGAAAAATATTGATTTTCCAAATATGTGTTCTTATACTGCTAACTATTGTAACAACCGTTACTTATAGCGGTTCTTTTGTAAATATTTAAACAGCCATCGCGTAATAATAGAGTTTACGTAACAAGTTCGTTCAAAACTCAACGTAAACGAATTCTGCGATATTAAAATATGTATTTTGTGTACCTATTTTAGGTGAAAGATTTCATAGATAACGTAAACACAAGTGCGGTGACAGCGAATCTGGACAATGCAGAAGGACAGCTTGATGCATTGGTGCAGGTTATCTCTTGCGGCCGTCGTATCGGATGGTCGGCGCATAGCCGGAAGATTGTGATAATGTTAACTGACGGTTCGATACATACGGCGGGCGATGGGAAATTGGGTAAGTATAAGCTACAGTTGCTTATCTCTTGGCGAGGAAAAGCCCTTAAAAATACTCTAATGCATACAGCAGCTGAGTGCCTACTTAACAGAGTTCTACACAACTCTATTTGTAAGTCTGGTAATGCTACAATCTCGTATATCAGACTACGAGATTGTTGCATAGTTTTGATTCTATAGATAGATAAATATATTATTTTAGCAGAACGAAAATACCTTTCACAATCATAATTCATATTTATAACCAACTAAGAAATATTTACAGCGGGCGCCGCAAAAAGAAATGACGGCGAATGCCATTTAGACGATAACGGTTACTATGCAGACTCAGTAATATACGATTACCCATCTTTAGAGCAAGTATATAGACTTTTAGATAAGTACAAGGTAAGTAAAATGTTCCACTTCTTCTAAGTCAATCCATTGAATGTTTTGTTCGTGTATCCGTGTATATAATGATTTTATTTTTTATTTTTAGGTCAATGTAGTTTTTGCAGTCACAGATAGCGTGAAATCTTACTATGATAATGTTCATCAGCTTCTGGATGACTTCACTTATGTTGCAAAGTTAGAAAGTGACAGTTCTAACATACTTAAACTAGTGAAAAAAAGCTATGAAGATATTGTTAGCGTTGTTGATTTCGAAGACGATTCTAGTAGTGGTCCAGTAAAGGTCCAATACTTTACAAACTGTGGAGTAAAGGGAGGCTCTATGATGGAAACTACCAGATGCACGGGTGTTGAATATGGAATGACGCTTGATTATGAGGCTCATTTAACTTTAGATTCCTGTCCCGAATACAAAAAGGTTTGTTAAATATTTCGGAGTTTATAATTCTTAGTAAAATACGTACATCAGTATTCTTGTAGTTTGTTTTACATTAACAGTTTAACGCCTTTAGCGGACACAATGTGATATTGCAATGTGACCGCCAAAGGCGTTAAACTTTTTCGGGTGCTTTTAATTTCAACACTACACTGCCTGTAAACGCGAGCAAATACTCATTTATTAAATTAGTCAAGGAATATTTCCATGTTATTAATATAAATATATGTTATTAATATAAATTAATTAAATCAGCATGAAAAAATTGTAACAGATTACCCAAAAAGTACGAATTTCCGAGAGTCAATTAGGTCAGGATTCCCTAGATTTGGAAGTTGAACTACATTGCGGATGTGACTGTGAGGCGGATCAAATAAAAGACATGTCACTTACGTGTCCCAGTAATTCACATCTAGTCTGTGGTGTCTGCCAGTGCAATAAAGGATGGTGAGTGACAAATACTTTGCAGGGGTTTTATTATATTATAGAGATATCGCGTACTTGCTCTATTTTCACAAATTAAACTTTTTAATTACGTTACTTACAGGTAATAAATACAAAATTCATTTTCAACTTTTACAAGCGCGTTATCACAGACTCGAGTTAAATATAAAAAAAAAATCTAAAATAAACAACCCGAATAAAATAATGTTTATTAATCATTTAGAATACAATATAAGTTCCTTAGTTCATTTTAAATGTGTTGGTATTCTTTTATAGGTCAGGCCCACTGTGCGATTGTTCAATAGAAGATGAGGCTGCATCAGCAGCTCTAGAGGCGCAATGTCGTGATCCAAATGTGAACAGATCTATCGCATGTTCCGGCACTGGTGATTGTTTATGCGGAAAGTGCGATTGTGATCGTGGTTATAGCGGCAGATATTGCCAATGCAAGAACTGTGAACGCAGCGTGTATGTATAAATTTCATATTAACTTCAAATTTGTTCTGAAACAGTTCAGTTATTACGGATATTGACCATCGGCTGGTGATTTTGAATTCGACTAAAGCAATCAGGTTTTTGGATATGTAATTTAAGTGGTTATTTTTATTTTATAAGTGAAATGTTATTTTATAAACATAACACGAGAAGAAATAGGGTGGTACTAATCTTAAGGGAGGTACCAGGTGGCACCACACGCCTAATGCTTATGCTATACCAGTAATAACTTATAAGAGCGAGAATTACGTAAGTAAATATTTCGCAAATAAATCTTCAGAATTGTCATCAGCATAGAGTAGCTGTTTTATGCTTATGAGGCCTGCGAGTAAAGATAATTGATGATCATAAGTAGATTTATTATGATACATTTAGGATTTAAAATTTCACCAATTGGAGACATTTTTGACCGACTACAAAATCTTAAAAAAATTTTGTTCGGATGCGATGTATGTATTTTAACCGACTTCAAAATAAAAAAAGGTGGTTATATGTTTGACGGCGATGTATGTTGTTTAACCGACTTCGAAATCAAAAAAGTCGACGTTATATGTTCGACGGCGAAGTAGGTATGTTTTATAAATTGTTTTCAACCAGACGAGATTTATTTGAACGAATCAATGGAATGTCATTTGAAGTGAGAACGGCATGGAGTGCGGCGGTATCGGGCGTGGCACGTGCGTGTGCGGGCAGTGCTCGTGCGTCGCGGGCTGGGGCGGCGCGGCTTGCGACTGCCCCGCAGCGTCCGACTCCTGTATTGCGCCGGGCGCCACCGATGTCTGTTCAGGACACGGAGACTGTGTATGTGGTAAGTTGTATTTATTTTTATATACTTTAATCCGATAATTTAAAAAATACGTCTAACTAACCAATTATATATAGATCTTATATTATCACTAGCTTTCCGCCAGCGTCATCCCAAGCGTGGTCACTAGGGATCTGTTTATTTGCATATCGATTCATATCATGACACGGATATAATTACAATGAAAAATTGAATAGTAAACAATGGTTACGTTTTAATTCCCTACAAAAAACTTTCACTCCCATTCTCATCCTTTTATTTGCTGTTTTTCGGGATAAAATATATCTTATGTTCTCCGCATATGATGTAGCTTCCCGTAGGTGAAAGAATTTTTAAAATCGGTTCAGTAATTTCGGATAGGGGAGACCTAGGTGAGTTGTGACAGAGGTGAGTTGTGACAAGGAGGATTTCTCTCTACCTATTATAGTAAGCGAGATGGCATTAACGCTTGTTTGTCGTTCTCGACACGCGCTACACGACTCAGTACCTGTCGACGGTGCATATGGCACAGTTGCGTAAATATATCGTCAGTGTACAAAAAATTGCGAAAAGTAAGTTTTTCTTCAAAATATTATTTGAATATATATCATATATTAGTATATGTGCATTGATATGTTATTTTTTCTTAAGTTATGTAGTTATTTAAGTCTCAATACGTGGCACTGATTTTTTGTATGCGCATCGTGTTTAGAAAATATGAATTGTTATTCGGACCAAGACGTTATTTTGAACACCTAGGTGAGTTGTGACAGCCTGTCACAACTCTCCTATCTTACTCCATATTTCTGCTGGACTATTTTTACAATTTTTTTTATTAACTTTAGATGTTTGTTGGAGTGTTAGTAGCTACTTAAGGTGTATAATGGCATACCGCATACTTATTTTTTTTTGAGAATGCCAAATAACTATACAGAGACTGAAAATCTAAGAATGTTAAGAAGCGTGTCTTAAGCGAAGAAAAAAAAGAAACCTAAAAAACCAAAGAAGACTAATAAGAAGAATAGAACAAGTGATGAAGAAGATGCAGAAAATAATTGCTTTTATTTGGTTTGCCTTAAAGCCTATGCAGACAGCAGATGGAATGATCAGTGGGTCCAAAGCCTTGAATGCAAAGGCTAGGCACATGTAGATTGTACTGGGGACGAGCTGCATTACGTTTGGCATAATTGTGAATCTGATTAGATTAAGATTTTATACTAATTATAACAATAATATGATTGATCTCAAAGCGATACCATATTTAGTTAATGAAAATATTTTAATTACTTGTTATGAGAATATTAATACTATGTTGTTTTAGTTGGTAGGTATTGAAAGATGATTAATCAAGTCAAATCAAATCAATCTTTATTGTTGATTGCAGGTTATATAAAGATATTGGTTGCAAGGACTGAATAGTTACACCGTGATCTGCCTAAAAGGCATACAATATTAGTAGGTTAGTAATTGTCAACTAATCTAATCAATAACGTGTTATGTCAAAAATTCAATTAATTCATTAAGTATTTATACATTTACAAAGTACTGTCAGCTAGATAGTCGTTTACACTATAATATGCTTTAGCTACAAATAATTTACAAAGTTTTTCTTTTAAAAACATTACAATTATCCAGATTACGTATTGTTTTTGGAATTTTCTCAAAAATTTTTGGAGCCATACAAAAGATACTTTTGTTCAACAGAGCTGTCTTAGAGGGTATGGTACACAATTTGTCTCGATGACGCAATCTCGTCTTATTTTCAAATAGTTGTTGATTCTGTTTGACAAAAATACCAACTTCGAATATATAGATTGATGGCAGGGTCATAATATTTAGTTTAATAAAATATGGCCTACAGGTATCCGTACTCTGTAAATAACATATGCTCCTAACACATATTTTCTGGGCTCTAAAGGCAGTTACAGAATCAGTCGAATATCCCCAAAATATAATGCCGTATCGAACAGTTGAAACTACGTACGCATGATAAGCTGTAAGGACCATGCACTGATTCGCGATCCTACTAAGTTTGTACAGTGCACAAGAATACTGGGACAACTTTTTGCAAACATGTTCAGTGTGTGTTTTCCAAGTCAAATTTATTATTATAGTACTGATTTGATAAAAAAACGTGCTTGATTTATTTATGTCGTATGTAATGGTATTTTTATATCTTATAGCTTAAATACAATGATGTCACAACTTACCTCGGTACCTGTCACAACTTACCTCGGTGGTAGGAGAGTTGTGACAAGGGGAGTGGACTTGAATTTTGTTATTTTTTTCAGAAACTATTATACTTTAATTAATTTTAGTGATGGTTTTGAAAACAGAAGGAATGGCGCTAAACTAATTCACATGAGTCATAACTGTGGAATGTTTCTTAAGCGAGATAGAGCCCCTTATGTAAAAATTGTCACAACTCTCCTAGGTCTCCCCTACTTATTCAATGCAAACAAACAAACAATCAAATCTTTCCTCTTGAAACTATTTCAGGTCGTTGTGAATGTATGGCATCCGAAGAAGATGGAAAATACTCGGGGATGTTCTGCGAGACATGTGCCACTTGCGAAAATCCCCTGTGCGCAAACGCCGAACCGTGTGTGAGCTGCCATCTCAATAACACATGCACCGACTTATGTACCATAGGCAATCTGAATTACACCGTCAGTGAAAGATTGAGAGACACTGGTAAGTACAAAATTATAATCACTCAACGATTACTTTTCGAAATATTGCAGCCCCCAATTTAAAATCAATCTCAATTACAATTGCATTATAAAAAAAGAAGATTTGGTGTATCTTTTATTTACAATAATTGAAAAAAAAAGTGAACGTTGCTATTATGCATTAATACTGTGTTGTGTACATTTAGGAAATTTTATAGCAACTGTAATATTTTCTATACTACCTACTTCTTAAAATGAGAATATACGAATAAAAAAGGACCTTATTCAAAGCTGTAGGATTCATAAGTGGAAATTAATCACGTGACGATATTAAATGAAGTTAAATAAAAGTAAAGAAATACAAAAATGAGAACAACTCTCTAATAATCTCCCACGTCTGATAAGATCTCTATTCAAATACTATTTGCTTTACAAATACACACTGATAATAAAGTTTTAAATTAAAAACGATTACAATGAAAGTAAAATAATAACGCGTAGAAGTAAGCTAATTACCATAGTTAGTTCGTGGTTGCCATTAAAGCTGAAAGTATGGTTTTACTACAAGATCATTAAAGTCATCTGTGGCTTGCGGTTGGTAGTTAATGCGACGGGCGCTATCAAACTGAGCCGTTTTAAATTTTACGTCTTCATCTAAGAAAATTAAGATGTTTTCTTTCACTCAGTCTTTGTCCTATTGTCAATGAAGACTATCCATTTTAAATGAGTATTATATACTAGTTGTTTTCCCGCGACTTATACATATGATACAGTTTTACCTAGGTTATTTTTTTTAAATCGTTCCTACTAACGTTGTTATGTGAGGCTTTGTGTGGATTGAAGTATTTGGATTAAAGGATGGAGCGTGACATTAACTGAGTAGCTTTTATTTCAAACGACAAATGCTCAAAAAATTCACCAGTCACATGTATCCTAGATGATTGCATTCACCTTTTGCATTCCGGGCAACTGCTGTAACCATGAATTTTGAAACATTTTTCTTTAAGATCAAAATACCACTGTGAATGCAAAATTGCTCAAATGTAATATGTGAACATGCAGGGAAATTCGCATACAATAGCAATTACAATGAAATTCTTTAGATTCCAAATTGGCGCAGAGAATTTAAAATGGAACATGACACTGCCCGATTAAACTAGGTTTGAATATGTAATAGCCGAGTTTCTTTTATAACTTTATTATATGAAACTGTTTTTATCCAAATCCATATTCTAACGTTACAGAAACATTAAAGAACGGCGAAATCTCTTGCATCCTCCGCATGGAAAATGAGGAGGGACAAGAATGCCAATACAAGTACACATACAGCGCTGCTAGCAGTTCCATGATCTCAATGGAGATAGTCATAAGATCTATCGATTGCTATCAGGCAACTAAGGCGAAAATCATGAATAGCGCTCTTATAATTATGGCGTGTGTCATAGCAGGCGGGCTGATAGCCATTCTTGTATTCAAGAGCGCTCAAATCGTCTCCGACAGACGCGCATATGCAAAATTCGTCAAAGAGGCCGAGGAAAGCAGACTGCATATGCAAGAGCTTAATCCTTTGTATATATCTCCTATCTCAGAATTCAGAATGCCAGAGGCTTATAACAGAGATAAGATTGATTGATTAAGAAAGTTATTTTTGTTGATATGTTTCGTGTTCAAATTAAGAGTTTAATATTATAAGAAAGCGTATCTGTTGTATAATTGTGGCAGTTTATAGTTCGTTAATACAAATAAGATCTAAGTTTAAAAAGGTAGATTGTTTTTCTAAGTTAGGGAGTTAGAAAACCAACTAAAGCAGTTTTAAGTTGCGATAGGTATTGTGTTCATCCTGGTCAGATTAAAACATATTTCAGGTAACTTTTGCCACAGATATTATAATATTGTAGATTTTGCCTATCACACAGAGGTTCTTGCATGAAGACGAAAGATAGGATAGTTAGTTTTTTAGCACTCTGGCTTCGACACAATTACTAAATCAAAACAAGATTGTGATATGTACCTTATAACTTCTATGAACTTTTGAATTTCGCTGTATATAGTGCCATATGTAATATTTTTTTTGAGTAGGAAGACATATAAAAATGTATTGTAACTTAAAAAAATGGTCTTATAGGTTTCAATTTTTTTTTTATTTGATGTACTTAATTTATGAGGACCTTTTTGTAAATGTCCATCTGTTACCGATACTTTAAGGCAATACAATTAATGTTACCTTTGTAAATTGTTTTTGTCGTTTGTAAATATTACATTTATGACATTAGCGTTTCTTAGCATACCTACTTAATTATGGTAATACATTATTAATTACCATAAATCTGAATAATGGACATCAACAACGTACATTAGAATTCAAAATTTACGGAAAATTTGATGCAGAATTATTTGAAATTTGATAGTTATCCAGCTTATAATACTTATTTACTGAATCTAAAATATTATTGAGATTGAGATAAGAAATAAATCTTATTAAAAAATTTAACACTACCCACATATTTCAGGATTTAGTGAACTGACTTTATCAAATTTTCATATAGTATACTTACTTATATCCAAGAAAAATATATAATATATCCACATCTCGTTGATGAAATTATTTGCTAATAGGTTTACTTAGATATTCCCAATTGTCAACGTCTGTCACGTTCTCTTGATAAGTAACTTTGGAAGTACTTAATACGTATGAAATTTGTACTTTATAAATATGATAATTAATTATAAGTGTTTTCTGGTTTACTAATTATTATGAAACTAGTCGATTTCAATGTAACTTGTGTTGTAGTTACTTAAAAAAGTTACTTAAAATAAGCATTGTGCCCTTTTATATCTTTGTTTACATGTTCCTGTATTTAATTCTCTTTTCAGCTAAGGTTTTATGAAGTTTAAATAAAAAAATATTTATAATATTTCAGTTTTATTGATATTATATTGGTAAATTTTACTTTTAGTCCAAATGACTATTGTGAAATGGAAAACATAAATCACCGATACCCTGTGCATTTGTGCACCTTACAGTAATGCGTTCAATCAATTCATCATGTAAAACTAATATTAAGCTCTATATTAACATTCGTAAATTAACTGAAACGATGAACTGATATGTATTTATGCAAATAAATTTATAGACGTATATATTTATTATCACAAAAATTTCATCACTCCAGTTAAAAAATATTCAAACTTTATTTCATCAGTTTAAAGACCTAAAACATTAGTAGTAATGATTTTGTACTAATACCAATAGATATACACATATTAAGGTAAATTTAATTTTAAATTATTAAAGGTTCGTTTTGCCTTTAAAAACAATGAGGAAGTATTGAAAAAAAAAGCACTAAGAAGCACCTCCACTAGATGGCGACTCTCGCAAAAGTTAATTTTTGCAGGAAACGAATAGACCAAAGATAGTCATTTCCGTTCCTTTTAACTAACATTAAAAAAGTGAAATTGCAAAGTTTAAAACTTAGATATCAATACAAATAGGAAAAAGTACAAATAGAATATAACTTGCTTATTGAGTTTTGAAAATTAATTTATTAAGGAGAAATCAAGAAAGTACAGTAGCGACATCTAGTTTGATTTCTAGAACTAATGTTTTTTTTAAATACTTCTCCATTGCAAATAAGTGTTGTCAAACGAATTTTATGAAAATATACACAATCTTTTTTAAATCATTAATATATGTACTCTATAAATAAAATTAAAACTGTAATTTCTACATCACATTGAGTTATACGAAACTGTATACTGTAACATATAACTGTAATATATTTTCAATTTTAAACATAAATAATCGAAATAGTTATCAGATAATTTAATTTAAATGTTACCATATGTTTTAAGCATGAATAAATTTAATAAACTGTAATAGCTTGTACCCAACGTGGCATTTCTAAAGTTGAACTATTCTTCCAGAGATCTTGTGTACAAAAATATACAAATAATACCCATTGGTAAACGAATAACTTACCTTATAACAAAATGTGACGAGAAAAATGCGAACTAGTGATTTTTTTAAACGTTATGTATCTTTTTGTTTAATTTTGCATATTATAATATATTAAAGTCAGAATAGTTTTCTTTCAAAAAATCACAAAGTCGCGTTTTCTTTAATGTCACATTTTATTAATTTGTTAGTTTTCGCTTCTATTTGGATAACACGTATGAAATTAATGTGACATGAATTATATTCATCACAGACACTTATATCATCAACACTAAATCATTCCCCTTATACTCAAATGACTTTAAAACTTTCTTTAACTTATAGGGATACTTATTCAATATAATTAAGTGTCCAATATATAAGGCCCCATGATATATAAACTTATTATCTACAATAAAATATCCCCATAATATACAAAACTAAAAATAGACGTTTACTTAAGCCCACATGTAAATGAGGACTGTGTTCTTTAGATTTAAAGTAATATATTGCTATCAGTCATAGTATTATTTGAGACAAATTGCTTTCAAGATAGTATTCAAAGTTGATAAAATATATTTCATTTAACGTTATGTAGTAGGTATTCTAATAACTAGCACCCGTTTCACAAAAATTTTAAATACACTCAGTAGTCCTATGGAAAGTGTAAATTTTTAAAATGTTTAAAACAATCACTAACAGAATGTTATCAATAGTTTGCCGAACTGGCTGATTCGCAAGAAATAGTATACAATAAAACACTTCTATACGTATGAGTACAACATCGATCGGCGCTTAACAGTATCGCACTCAACAACGCTGTGAAGTGCTGTACAACAACGTACAGCTCTTCAAAGACACTATTCTAATCTGATGTGATTTTGGCCGTTTGAAGAAACTCTTACTCATTATGAAGTAAATGTAATATGAAGATATGGATTAGCTATTTATTCAGCTGATATTTTTTTTCTCATCTTTTTACAAAGGAAAAACAGTTGTTTACCATAAAACTATTAAATTACGGAGTCGACAACTTCATGTGTGATAAAAATATACGTTTTTAATAATATTAAAAATTTTATATTTTTAGCACCCATAAAATTCGACTACTGTGTCAAATCTTTCAAATTATATCTTCTAATACGTGCACTTAGTTTAAGTGGCGTTGGCGTTTCAGTTACCGAAACTCTTCACAAGATCAGCATCTTCCTAATGATTATAACAAAGGTGTCCCAGGAAGGCACTAAGGTAATATATACAGTAGGTCCTATATACATCAGACTTGTCGATCGTGTCGCTCGGGTGGCACCAAAGACATCGGCCGAGACTCGTGTTTCACGTGCGGTGTTCCGTCCGAGGGGACGGTGGGGAGCGAGGGCGATATCGCTGCGTGATCCACCGGCGACGCGTCAGGTATCATCAACCGGATAAAATCGCCTACCACTTGATACGGGACTAACCTGCAATAATAAGTATTTCATAGAGTCAGGCGTTATCTTACGAAAGTTCATTGTAACAATTGTAAATCTATAATATTTAGCAACATCTACAGCCCTTCTAGTATTTGTAAAGTATCTGTGAACCATCCGCCAAAAAATGTGCGGGCACAAGCGGGAACGAAAGTCACTGTGCGAAGTTGTGCGATTACCGCTTCTGTACGCATTTATTTGCAGGTAGTGAATATACCTATATATCTCACAGATTTTAACGGGGTATGAAAGTTACTAATATTGTAGATAAGTAATTTAATGTGTAAAATACATATGCGGAAATCTAAAGAAAGAAGTTTTTTAATGAACTATTAACATAAACGCAGAATAACAAAGATATTACAAAGATTTCCCAGACGTCCAAATGGTTTCGCTACCAAAGCACATCGTGAGGTCACTAGTATTAGTTCCAAAAATAAATCATCTTAACTCGGAAACTAAAAATCGCAGTCATGTTGTTACTTGTGCATTATTTCAGGGATATCAATGAATTATTTAAATATAAAATATAAAAGTAGTCAACTACTTTAAAATCTTGTATTTTTTCTGGGTAAGCAACCCAAATGCAACTTACATCCATTATGTTACATTCAAATATAAGAGATACGAAATGATTACTTATAAACACATTTGAATTACATTAAATTGGGCAATCTTACCATCTTAGGCAAATCATTATTCGGAATATTCCAGGAATAAGGGCGAATGGCTCGTTCGTGCGAATAGATAGGACTACGCGGTCGGCAACGTCATTCGAGCTCAGCTGGGGTAGGAACCTGAAACGAAAAGACAAAACTTAATATAACTATTGATATTATATTATATAACACCTGTTTTCCAGTGAGCATTATGTTCTGTTCAAGGTAATGAAAATGCTGATGATGATGGATAATATTGCAAGAGATATCTTGGTTACTTTAGAACATCCAAGACGTAAAAGAAAAGGTGGGCCAAGGAAAATGCTATAAGGAGAACAAAACCAAAACAAGTTATAGAATAACCAAATGTAAGATTTTACCTTAGTCCTAACCTCAGGTCATAGAATATCTAGATTGTGATCCTCATGTTATTTCTTTCTCAACATTTTAGTCAATTGCTGGATGTATGCAGGTTTTTACTGCTTTATAGCCGGTCTTATTTATAACTTCATCGAATTGATTTGTGATTTATAGTCTCTTCATATTCTTGAGGTTTTAAGAGGTTGTTGACTTATACATTTTTAACAATGTGATTCATAAGAATTGAATTAAACGATCCATTTGAGGACAATGTGTTACTTTCAATTTTATTTAATTTTCTTATTTCATTGTGTTTTAACATAGAAGAATGAGTAATGATTACATACCTCGAATTGACATCATCAAACATGCCCGTCGATCTGATGAAGAAGGGGCATATGAGCGACGTTTTAACTCCCTTCACACCCTTATCTTGGAGTTCGAGTCTCAAGGACTCGTCGAAGCCACAAGCGGCCGCCTTCGATGAGCAGTAATCCACCAATTTTGAAACACCGACATAACCAGCCATAGATGCTATGGTTACAATATGCCCATCATTCTTTTCAATCATCGAAGGCAAAAAAGCCTTTACAGTCTGAAAAATATAAAAATGAAGTTAAAAAACTGTTGCAATAACATTGTGACATTTCACAAATTAAATAGATAAGAAACAACTACGATACTAACGATGAATAGCGTTCTTATTAGGGATTTTTTTTAAAAGGAAGCCTTTGTTCAATTAAGAAATTAAAAAAATTAATATTACCACATATTCTCCATAAAAAAAAATAAGCAAAACAATAACGTATAACTTACCCAGAAATGAGCCAAAATGTTGACATCGAAAGTCCTTTGTATGAGATGGTCGGGCGTGTCGAGCAGGTATCGTCCTGATACCACCCCGGCGTTGTTGATGAGCAGATTTACCTGAACAATAAGCAACCACAAGTTATTAGAGAACTATCTAAGTAAGTTACAAAAAGTGACGTTTTAATTCTGCGAAGTAACTAAAGTTACAAGTAATAATAACTCATACGTTAACTCAGCATTTCTTGACCTCAGATTGTGACTCAAAATTGGGTCATACATTTTGTGGTACTAAAATGAGAGCAAAGCACAGACTTTTAGCTAATATTATTGTTTCATTAACACTGATAGCTCAAGAAATACTACAGGATCACAGGCTTCAACTATATGAAATGAAATGAAAATATCTTTGTTCAAGTAAGCTTGTTACAAGCACTTTTGAATCGTCCAATATATAACATATTAGTTGTATAATTATTATGTGCCAGGACTTCAAGAAATGAATGAGTTAAGTATACTGATCAACTTTTACTATGGGAACAACACTGAATTCCCGAAAAAATAATCATCTGTTTCATACTGTTGTCGACTGTAGTTATAACAATTTTGTATGAAACAGCTGATTATGTTTTTCGTGAATTCAATGTTGCTCCCATAGTAAAAGCTGTTCAGTATACTTAACTGATTCACTCCATATAATAATATTACACGCTCTACAAAAAGTGTAGGAGTATTAATAATTTAGCATATTAATAATATTGCCATATCTATTTATTTTATTCGGTGCCTAAAGTTTGACATATTATTTTGGAATTGCATAGGTACACTGCGTACGGAACAATGCTTATTGTTTCGAACTGCACGTGAACAATGTATTGTTAAATATCTACCTAAACCGTAGCATTATGATAGGACTTCGGTGTTTGTCAGATAGTCACATTTCCATATATCATTTTGTATAGCACCCAATTTGTTCAGGTTTCCTAGAACGGGCGTATTTTTTTTTTACAATATTGTCCATTGTTGTTAGTAATTTATATGCATTTGTGTACATTTATATGTATTTATATATATTTGAGGTATATTGTTCTGTTTATAATAGGAAATCGATCAGATAAAAGACATGTTCAATGTCCAAATTTTTATAAACGTTCTTAACAAAATCTTAAATTTATGAATTTTCCCGACAATCTTCCAAAATCTTTTTTTCTGCCGACGAGTATTTTAAATTTACTAGCACGCGGTATTAGTTATAAGAGAATTTGTAATTGCAAATATTAAAAATATATATCAGTATTTAGTATGATATTGACAATGAAATTCACAAAGTATGTGGTAATTTTGTTTCGCTCTTGATTACTGCTGATCGTGATGAAACATAATTGGGCAATATTTCCCGCGCCTGTTACTGACCTTCAGCGTTGGTAACCGAGTGTCACAATGGTTCGATATATTTTCAGTACCGAAAAATAAAATATTGTGTTGTAAGGATAGGCAGCTCGATGGTGTAGCGATTGTCAACGTAAGAGAAAAACGACTTTCGTAAAGTCGTCACTCATTTGTTAGTAACTAAATACAACATTATGTTTTTCGGTTAGAATAACTTTATCATATATGTGCATTAATCAAATATCACTAGGTTGTAGTAATATGTCACTTGTATTTATTTTTTCAAAAATCTGATTTTTGTGTCTTAAACCTCACCATGTATCATCAAGGAGGAGGGAGGGTTAAAAATCCTGAATAAAAATATCACGTGATTAATGGATGTGAACAAACACCCATATCCGTGATAATATATAATTTTTACATTGACCCAACTGGTAATCGAACACAGGGCTTTAGAGATGGCTACACCTTGAAATTGGCGTACGAGCCACTTTACCACAGAGGTCATAATTTCATGGTCCGTTTGTTTCTGTCATTTTTTCTTATTTAAGGTTATTTAACATTCCTTTTCAGTTAGGTACCACTAGTGAATGCAATCCCGCCCCAATATTTCAATCCCGGTATTTGCGGGACTAAGGGTCCTCAGTCCCGCGGGATCCCGGTATTTGCGGGATCCCGCATGATGTTGAAAGTCTTAAAGCAAAGTGATAGGAACCCTGTATCATAAATGCATGTACTTAACAAAAACTGTATGTAACTAAAAATTAAACAAGAAGTGATATTCAAAATAATGTATTGAAAGTTAAACATACAAAATAATTAGTTTAGGCATTATTTTGGAAATAACTGCGCATGAAACAAAGTACGTTGATAGTTTCATCTGCCAAACGACTCCTAACTTTACACGCCAGATAGCCAGCTGCAGAAAACGCTCGCTCTGCTTCCACGCTTGTTGGTACAACGGTTAGTAAAGAGTTGTAGGCGAATTGGAGGTATGTGCCTTTTGATCCACCAGACTCAAACAAATTCATTTCTTTCTTAATCAAAGCTTCTAGAGAATGAACTCTAGAATGAGGAGTGCGACAAGCAGTTTTAAAACTCGATAGAGTTTGTTCGAGTTCATCACGAAGAGACATCGGTTCAGGCTCCGTAGTTTCTTGCATCATTGCGGCCACTGTAGCAAGAGGTACATCATCGTCATCTTGAGTAGAGGTTGAAGGCGTCATATACACATCAGATGAGGTTAACGCTGATTCTGTGTGTCCGTCTCTGTTACTGAACTGTAATCTTTCTATGATTTTTATAATTTCTTTGCGGACTACACTCTTTGTAGGTAACTTGAAAGTTTCGTCGTTCATAAATGCAATTAGATCTTCTTCGTACTTGCCAGGGTCATGTAGGTACAATAAAGCTGCAGTCATGTTGGTGCGTCGCTCTGTAATGCGTTTTCTCAATGAGGTAGCAAGTTTTTTAGCCAAAGGTGTTTCTTGTCCTTCTAATTTGCTAATCACGAACTTCAGAGTAGATTCTGCTGTGATGAGATTCGTCTCACGCCGGCACAAAACTTCGACAGCTAGTTTCACAGGCTGGAATACTCGTTCCAAATCCGTCAATACATTATATTCTTCTTCATTGAAGAAGTACTCTGGATTTGACGCCAACCCTACATCGATCAAAGTTTTAGAGACGCATAGTTTGACCCTATTGAATGTAGTTATCATCTGTGAAAGGCTCGACCATCTTGTTTTACAGTCTAGCATCAGTGTAACGCTTTTTCCCAAGTCATTCATAATATATGCCTGCAATAAATCATTTTTGGTCGGCGATTTCTTGAAAAGTTTGACCACTTTTCGAATTTTTTGTATTACACTTGAGTATTCTAAAGACAAATCTACTTCTCTTGTGGGAAGAACTAGATGAAAGCCGCTGTCCTTAACTTCATCATCATCATCAGAGTCTATGTCTAATAAATCACTCTCTACCCTAGATTCATCCAACCTTACCTCGTTTTGTACATTTATTTCGTCTTGTGATGTTTCAGATGAATCTGGTTTATTGTAAACGACATCAATTACAGCAAGTTGAACTCCATGAGCATAACAAAGTTGTTGATCGGGCTTAATGAGACGGCCAACTTTTACCATGACCTTGGCACCGTCTGTGGTAATATTGACGACATCTTTATCAAGTGATACATCATACTCTGAAAGTTTTTCTGTTAAAATCGTTACACAGGATTGTGCTGGCAAGCTTCCAAAAATACGCACCAGGCCCAAGTTCCAAAAAATAGGCTTACCATCAAATGCGTGTATATTTACATTTAGGAAGCGCCTATTCCTCGAGGAAGTCCATTCGTCGAAGGTGAGAGTAAAACGATGACCGGTTTCTTTCAACTTCGATAAGTCTTGAATAACTTTCATTTTCAGAGTCATACCAAAATTCATTACCATCAGTTTTATCGAGTTTGGAGATGAAGGTAATTTATAGCCGCCTGCTATAAAGAGATCTCGCAAGTCTGAGGACGTGCAGAAAACACTAAACGGTAGGCCATCCTTTGAAACCATCCGTGACACCTTCTGCTCTACGGTATTATTTTCTCTATGAAAATGATCAGTAATTTTGTGTTTTTTTGCCGACGAAGCTGAAGAAGAAGAGTAGGCATGGGCATCATCTTGTGTATCTGGTGTAGAAAGTGACGGTGCCGAGGAATTAGACGTCGATGTCTCTGAAGCTGGTCGAGCTGGATCGCCTGAAGCGAGAGAGTTGTCAGATTCACTTGCTTTGGTGTCAATCTTATGTTTAGATTTCAGATGAACGTGCAAGCCCTTAGTTGAACGCCCTGTGGTTTTTATGATTGATTTACATATCTTGCATTTAGCAGTCTGCGAATCTTCTGCCTTTAAAAAGTGTCTCCACACTATACCTGCACTGGCAAAGTCTTTATAAACAATGTTCGACATAATTAAATACAATAGTCCCGTTTAATTCACTAAAACAAATAAAACTTAACACGTTATTAAGTTACGTCACGATTGCAAAATGCAACTGACAAAAAATAGGTAAACAAACCCCGCGCCGCACGGGTCGGGCGTTCAAAAGAAAGCTCCGCCCCCGCGCCCTTCGTTCCCGTCCGCAACTTCTCTCTAGCTTAGTCAGTTCGCGCGCTTCCGCGCACCAAACAAGACGTGGCGTTTGTCGATGTTCAGTCCCGCTAATCCCGCGGGATCCCGCTCGATTTACGTGCGGGACTGGTCCCGCTAAAATCATGCGGGATCCCGTTATTTCGGGAACCCGGTATCCCGGTATTGCATTCTCTAGGTACCACAAGTCAAAGTTGACTGGAAGAGAATGACATTAGCATTAAGTCCGTCTTTTGTACGATTTCTTTAATGGTCAACAAAGTTGACTAAATAAATAAAAGTACTTTTAAATCGTCCAACATTTCTTACCACTCATTCAGGAAGTATTTTGGCTGATAAGAAGAACGAGCAAGAAACTCATCACTAACGACTGCAGTTATAGCCGGGATCAGTGGCTTAATATGCTTTCCAAAGCACAGAGTAACTAGAGATACTAAATTTTTGGTCACCCATCCTATAACTGACCCTTGCGAAAGTTGCTTAATAACCGTATTGTAAACCGAGCGCGCTTACCACAGCGTCATCGAGCAATGGTGTCCGGTGTTAATGAATAATTATTCTGTTATACAAACCTTTCCAACTTCCCGATCCACCTGTTTAGCAACTCGGTAAATATCCTCCTTTTTCGCCAGGTCTACGACGTAGCCGGTGCATTTCCCGCCAATGCCCTTCACCAACTTTACGGTGTCTTCTAGCCCTGGAACAGTAGTGCATAAATGATATGATAATGTTATTACATATTAAAGCGACTATTAACTGACCGAATTATGAGCTTTAATCATTACACCTGCTCAATTCTGGTTGATTCTTACATAGAGACTTGAAATTTGGAGAATACATGCGTCTTAAATGCGAACTAAGAACAGATTTCTGAAAATTCTACCCCGTAGGAAGTAAAGAAGGGTGAAGACTTTTGTATGAAACTTCTTTGTTTTTGAACTTATATCGATGAAAATTTGTATTTGAGTAGTTCAAAACCCAGGGTAGGTAATAATAAAAATATACTAAATCATTTTTTTATATACTTTGAGCTATACTAGATTATGAAGTATATTCTACATCGCACTGTTTTTGTCAAGGAACTTTAAGCTTTAATATAATAGATGGCGTTCTAAACTAAACTGCGCTATCGTTTGGTTTTCAGTTTACGATTAAGTTATGAGTTTTTTTTTCCATCTGTATTTCAAATTGGATTTTATTTTGGATTATATAAGTTTTCAAAGATAATGTGCTGAAACATATTGTAATTCATGTTTTATAATTTTCCTGTTTTGTGTTAATTTATATGATAGTATTTTGTATTTCCAAATCGCTTAACATAATTTTGAACAATAATACTATAACAATAATACGCTTTGTAGTAGCGAAAGGTAATAAGTGCTTGAAAGATTCGTCGAACGTGTTAGGTCCTGGGTAGCTCAGCGGTTAGATCAGTCGCCCGGATTACGAAAGGTCATGGGTTCGAATTCCATCTCAGGGTGCCAGGGACCAAGTGGATTTTTTCAGTATTTTGTATTAGGAATATTTTGAACAATGTTTTGTATACCAGTTATTGGCTATAATATAAAACCCTGTACAATTATTCTCATATTAAAAAGATATAATTAAATAGTTTTTTGTTGTAGTGTCTTCGAAGTTGAACATCGAGGTAATTTTTTTCTCATATCGCGGATTAATAAAATTAATCATTAAACTAATTAATGTGTTTCGTATCACGATCCTTGGCAGTTAACCTGGGGCCAATTCTACTAAATAAATTTTGTTTAAATCGAATCGAAACCGAACGAAACTACAGTTTTTAATGATTTTTCTATTCTACAAAGTGACATACGATATAATTCCAGTTCTATTTTAGCTGATATTCGATTTAAACAAAATTTATTTAGTAGAATTGGCCCCCTGTTCCTTTGTATAGCCGCACTATAAAAGGACATTGTGATGGTTTTTAGGCTGATCGACATAGGGGAGAGTAACCTATATTGTACTGACTCCTAAATTATACCACCTTCATATTTCCTACTAATTGGTGCCATTATTCTACACTGGCAACATACAACAAAGCAACTATAGTGCCACTGTCACGGCGCCGTTTTATTTCTTCTTACGACAGATGACACGGGAGTGACAGTGAAAAACTTTTTTTTTTGTGTTTTGGTGTATTTTTTACGTATATTGTCTAAGAAGGTAGCTAAATAAAAAGGTTAGTAGTCATTCAAAACTATATTTTATAAGAAAGCACAATTCCTGCTGTTTTTGTGCATCACGAATACAAATCAGTTGCTTCAGGTTATGTTGTTGTTTTTTTTAAGATTGTTGTCGACTCACCGTGTAGCCTATATCGGACCTGTATGTGGTTCCAAAATTAGACCGGTACAATTTATGCATCTTCTTTAAATGAGAAAAATAATCGTGGTTTTAGTTTTGCTTTAGATGGAGACTGCTCAAAAAAATATTATAAATGGAGTAGAGAAGATTTGAAAAAGGCATTGCAAGCATATGAAGAAAAAAAAATGGAATTAACGAAATCTCTAGAAGGTTTCAAGTACCAAAACCAACTATTTTACGGCACGTCAAATAGCAGAATAAGTATGCTAATAAAGATACTACTCATAAGGGAAGACCAACAGTTCTCTCCCATGAGCAAGAAATGGAAATGATAAACCATATTTTGCTTTTAGAAAACCATTTGTTTGGTCTTACAATCAAAAATGTACGGCGTTTAGCTTACCAAGTTGCAGAATATAACAAATTCCTCATTCATTTAATAAGGAAAATGAAATTGCTAGCAAACGTTGGTTTTATGCATTTAAAAAACGTCATCCACAAATTACTATTAGACAACCTGAGAGTACTTCTCTTAACAGGGTAAAGGGGTTTAACCGCGAAAACGTGTTCAGTTTTTATAATATATATGTGCTATATGTAATAAACATTATTTTGATAAAAGTGGTCCACAGGAGATAATAATAAATAAAGAAATTATTATAACCGAAAATTTAGTTTTATTTGAGAATGCTACCTAAATTTTATACTGTGGGTTTCTTTGGTACAATTTATGTATCCCGCGGTACAATTTAGAATACTAGATCAATAAATTGGACCGAAGGACAACTATCAGTAGATGCATATTTTTAAATAGTTTTAACTTGATAAGAATCTTAAGTTCGTAATATGTTGTAACTGGAATACCAAGCTATCACCTAAATCAAATTGAGTTTCTGTAACTAACAAGGTTTAGGTTTTTTTTTGTGTTATAGTGCCATTGGCCTTAGTAAAAATGTATAGCCTTAGTGAAAATGTATAGCCTTAGTAAAAATGTATAGCCTTAGTAAAGGCTAGCCGCCTAATTGAACGGATGTTTTACCCAGTTAGCACAAAAACTTCTCAATTTAAACTAGTAATAAAACTCTAAATTTAAAGTCGACCATGTAAATGTTCTTTATATTGTTCTTAGCCTATTTATGTGGGTAACACTAAACCGAGTTGACTATTGTAACTCGATTGGTTACTATTGTAAAACTGTTTGTTGACCCAAATAAACCCAACCAAAAAAGAGAAAAAGATTTAATGAAAAAATATTTGTTTTAGCGTTTTTGGAAATGCTGTACAAAGTAATTATACCACGCGGACGAAGTCGCGGGCAAAAGCTATATACAGTGCATCAACAAAAAAGAGTACTAAACACATACAGTATAAATGTAAATCTATTCATTTATAATATCTCATTGTTTATTAAAATAGGCTCTTCAAAAATATACATTTTATTGCAATATTGATACTACTTGAAAGAAAAAAAGGTAGGAGGCATGTGGAATATCCAAAAACATAATTAAATATATAGTTCTTATTATTATAACTACCTTCTGATCATTTAAAGATTAAAAATCTAGCTATAACTCATTTTAGGAGAATTTAATAATAATTATCTTTATTTCCAGTAACAGTTTCCTAAATATACAAGAAGTATAAACTTAATAATATTGACATCATTGAAATCATACGATAATTAAAATAAGTTTTACTTGTATAAGGCATCTGCTGCCAAACTAAGGTGGTTATCACCCTGTCATCTGGCAAGACAGCGCAACTACCCCAATTAGACCTAATGAAGATAATATTATTACTTATAAAGTTACAATTTTTATTAATGTTTTGTTTATTCTACTAAAAACTATTTATATTAACTATATATATAAAAAATATTTATTTATAACTATTTGTGTGTGTGTGTGTGTGAATGTGTATGTGTGCGTTGAAATGTTGTTTGTATAAATAAATAAAGATTGTATGATTGAGTGTATGAGTATGAGATTTTGTTTGATGTATTCTATTATGAAACTGTAGTAAGTAGCTGCTCCTTCTTATCGTAGTCAAGAGAAAGAAGAAAGCTAGTGACTTTCCTCTTGCACTCGTATTTATTCAAATGGGCAATGGTAATATATCTGCTTATCTTATTATAAACAAAGTTTCCAAGGAAGATGTAAGAACGTTTAGCGAAACTTGTTCGGCAATCTCGTTTATGTCTGCAAACAATAACCTTACGCCGTCTCTGAGAGTTTGATTGGTCAAAGTCAATTTCTGCGTGCTTTTTCAAGACAGTAAATAATAAAAACAATCCTCTGACGCTAAGTACTTCGCAAAATTTCAACAGAAGGCTGGTGGGATACAGATATGGTTTAAAAGTACAAACCATCAAAACTGATCACTGGAGCCACCTCCAAACACTTCAAATTTGTTTTTGGCGTCCCTCCCCAGATAGTTATACCGTAGGTTAGTATAGATTGACATAATGCCAGGTAAACTCGTTTGAGATGCACAGGTTCAAGAACATGTCGTAGTATCTTAAAGGTAGCTATAAGTTTTCTCACCCTGCCACATAGATTTCGAACATGGATTTTATAGGACATATTATTGTCAAATGAGACACCAAGGTATTTAATGACATTAACATAATTAACCACTGCACAGTGACAGTTATCAGCGATTTGAGGGCTGCAAGTATGTAAGCGGAGCTTGCGAAATTGAAACGAGTCACTTGAAGTAAAAAAAAAAAAAATGTGAAAAAAATACATTTGGTTTTGTCCGCATTTAGAGTCAAAAAGTTTGAACTCAGGCAAGCATTTACTCGATTTAACCCATTTTGAGCAGCCTCACAGGTCCCACTCAAATTTCTGTCTGAAAACATAAGGACCGTGTCATCTGCATAGGTCACAATTTTTCCATTACTGAGATTTAATTGACAGAGCTCGTTGATATACACAAGAAAAAGAGTTGGACCCAAGATGCTCCCCTGGGGGACGACGTGTGTTACCAATGACTCGCTGCTAGAGAATCCAGAAATGTTAACGGATTGGTATCTTTCAGAAAGGTAATTCTCAAATAATTTTAATTGGTTATCACGAATTCCAATCCCTTGCAACTTCTTCAAAAGAATAGGAACAGTACCGTATCAAAGGCCTTTGCCAGATCCAAAAATATCCCTATACATTTATTACCCTCGTCTAGTTTATTAGTAATAAAGTCGACCATTGCATGCATAGCATCAGTTGTCGACCTACCAGTTCGAAAACCAAATTGATTTTCAGAGAGAATTTTATTTTTGTCGAGGTAATCAACTAGTCGCACATTAATAATCTTTTCAAAATTTTTTGATATTGAGGGCAATATTGAGATAGGCCGGTAATTAGAGACACAGGC